GCTGGTGAATGGCAGTTAGGCATTCTCTCTGTAGGCAGTTGGTGTTTTAGACTCGAGAGTGGTGAGGAGGGGTTTGGGTGGGCTGTGAGAGAGGATCTGAAACATTTACTATTGAGGGCTGGTCAGGTGTAGGAATAAATTAGTGCATTTTTAAGGCTCTGGGTTAGCTAGAGAAGAGAGAGAATGTGCAGTGTTTTTAAATGTAGTGATTATACTGCCTTTGCTGTGTTTAAATTCTGTCAGTAAAGAATTGTTTTCGTTTTTCCTCATTTTTTGTCCGTGAGAGCACTCTCTCTGAAAGGTTGGATCGGGTCAACGTGTTTCTGTGGTGGATAGTAATAGTGTTCACTGGGATAACTCTCCATAGGAACCTTGTGGCATTTAGATAGTCCCCATAAAAGAGGATCATGGAAACTCCTGGTAGTTGCAGTAAACACTGTGGGTTTTTATGTTTAAAGACATAGAAACTCATCATTTGGTGACTGTGGTAGGGTTTCCTGAGAGAGATCTCCATATCTGGTGACTTAAAGGATGACCCCCCCCCCCCACATGTGATGCAGCTGCAGGATTTGCCTTTGAGTACAAGCAAATACCATGTTGTAATTGTATAATACTATATTATTGTTATACTTAAGGGGCAAGCAATCAGGATGCGATGGCAACAAGTTACATTCCTTAGTTATCTTTCCATACTCTGTCCTGTCAGGGCAACTAAGTATTGCTGTATTATAGCTCTTGTTTGCTGGTTAGGGTAACTATATACCTGCACATTATGCAGTGTATCTGAAGGACCAGGTACTGTTCAATAGAGTTTTGCATGGATCGGTTTTCCTTCGTTCATCCATTCTTTCATTACTTTTGTTACCTTTGGGATCACACAACAAGAAGCCTCTCCCGGTACAAAAATCAGCTTGACACAAAAGCAAGGGGAAACCAATTCTGGCTCCTCATTCTTCTCATGAGCAGCCTCCTTGCCTTGGAAAGAGTGCATGTGTGTGTGTGGTGTGCAAGCCCAGAAAGCGTGTGTACCTGCCTACAGCCAAGAGCCTTTTCAGGAGTAAGAGAACTTGCCTCCTTGCCTTGGAAAGTGCATGTGGCATAAAGCTGAGCACCTCCTCTGAAGTAATGTTGCCTCCTTTTCTTGGAAAGGGCATTTGGGATGCAGGCCCAGAAAGCACACACAGCTGCCTGCATCCAAGCACCTCCTCTAGAGTAAGAAACAGGTTAAAAGCCTCCTTAAAATGCACCCCTGCCTGCAGCTGAGTCCCTCTCCTTTAGAGTAGACCTTAAATGTCTAAAGTGATGGGTAGAGGAGCCTGGGAAGCCTCCCCATAATGAGCTGATAAAAAATGGATCTTTCAGAACCCCAGAGTGAAAACAGATATCCACCCTCCCGGGAGGCTCCCAAAAATGGATCGAGCCCCCCACCGAAAGCTGGGACACAAAATGGGTGAAGGTTTACTGGGATTGCACAAATCTACTGTTCAATATTACATTCAAATGACGGAGGAAGGCAAACAGGCCACCTCAAGCATGGAAAGGGGTAAAACCAAGAACTGCCTTGGCGTTTGAAACAAGGTAAGTATTTATGTCGATTGTGTTGTGAAGGCAAGGTATCCAGACTTCTCTCACAGAAGGGGAATACAGGATGTGTCCTATTTTTAGATTATATCTGTGGGTGTACTGAAAGCAGATATTTTGAGAATCCATCCTCTGAGCCCTCTGTCATTTACCAGTGCTGTGTTGCACCAGAGTGTTAAAAATAAAAACAAAATGATCTCTGTATTATATCCAGAAAGCTTGAGTCCATTATTTTCAAAACAGTTATGAAGACAGTTCACTATGTTAGTATGAAAAGAAAGACAAGAAAAATCTTCAAATGGCATAAGTTGAAAGCTAGTTAGAAATATATTATTGTTAACAAATGGAGATTTAAATTGGTTTCCTTCTATGAGAGGAGAGACTTTATTGTTTTAAAAGAAAACATGCTTGCTTATCACAAAATCAGGGAAAGACACAATTTGATTCATTTTCAATCCTTTCAATTAGTAAAAAACATTATTTCCCCCTCCATATCTGTGCTGTGCAGTTCTTAAGTTTGCTCTTAATTTTACCTTTGAGTTATTGCAGCCTTTCCTGATGCTTCAGAATGATGAGCACCATGAACCAAACAGTGGAGTCCACTCCCAAAACCAGAGCAAACAAAACTGCAAATGTCTTATGGGGAAGGAAGGAAGAGGAGGAAATTGAGGGAAATTGTGCAGAAATGTCTCATCAAACAAGAGGCTCTTTGTGGGTGTATCACATGTAACAAATAAAACTGTTTAAAGCTCTTGTCCTAATTTCACAGCAGCAGCAACAACAAAACAACGATAGTCCTTTTAAAGTTAATTGCCATTAATACATCACACAATGATGTAAGAACAGGAGAAAAATAGTATTTCGTACTAGCCGTCCCCTGCCATGCTTTGCTGTGGCACAGTTGCTGTATATGTGTGTTGTGTGTGTGTATATATATATGTGTGTGGTTTTGTGCATGCATTGTAATTTTTTTATTTTTTGGCTCTTTAAGTCTCTTCTGCTGTGTTTTTCAGTGTTTTTATGAGTGATGATCACTCGTTGGCCTGATACGTGTATTGTGTCCAAATTTGGTGTCAATACGTCCAGTGATTTTTGGGTAATGTTAATCCCACAAATGGACATTACATTTTTATTTATATAGATGGGTTGCTGTGAGTTTTCCAGGCTGTATGGCCATGTTCCAGAAGCATTCTTTCTCTCATGATGTTTTTCTTATAACACTGCAAAATAAACTGACTTTGGTTCCTACAGGTTTTTAAATAAATCCTAGGCTTTTAGATATTTTATGTGAGTTATGTTTTTGCCACTTTCTCAGTTCAGCACATTGGTTAAATTTAGGAGGTGACAACACGCTCATCTCATTCACATTCATTGTGCCACTAAAGTCTGAGAATAAATAAATGTGTCAGGGCTGCATTCGAGTAGAGCTAGCTATGATAACATGCCATTGAAAAAGATAGAATGGATCAGTTGCAACTAACTTAAATTTTATTGACTTCAATCGGACATACATAGAGACTAGATGCTATTTGTTTACATTAATCTGACTTGAAGATCATCCACACTCACTGAATCACACTATGTAGAAAATAAACTCGTTTTATTATTAAACTGGATAAATGCCTTTCATTATGGCAAATGGTATGGAATGACAGATGAGAAAAAGAAAATAAAGCCAGTCCTTATTTAACCCAACCACGAAAATCTCATTGGGCTTTGCAGGATGATTAAACAGAACACAGAATATGCAATTTGCTGCATTGGACACACCTGTTAAATTAGCATGGGAAACTTGTTAATGTTTAATTGAAAGTAAATGCTATTTATTTTATTTATATAGAGATCCATGAGTCATATTTCTATGAAGCATACAGTGACTCATGGCAGGAGCCACTGACTTGGTCTTCTTTGAGAGCTAGTAACTACCGGCTTGTGAGCTTTTTTCTTGGCTGTGCTATTTTGAGGCTTGGTTGTGAACTTTTGTGTACATAGATTTGCCAGATTAGCAACATCCAAAAGATTTCAAAGCCAAAATCTGAGCTGGAGTGTTGTTCTTGGGGTATCACAGTGATGGCCCCTCACACTGTCACAGGGTGCAGGGATTTCAGGTGTCACAGAGGAGCAGATTAAGTAGTTTGTCAGAACCGCTTTTGGTTAAGCTGATTATGGAAACAGACATGAGAGCACCCATCCAAAAATTCGTGTAATCGGGTATGATGGCAGTCCAGAACGAAAGGAACACCATTTTTTTTTCATATTCAGACAACTGGAAAAACACATCTAGTAATTGCAGCAGTTGCTACCACTTCTGCTAAAGATCTCACATGATGATGATTGCAATGAAAGTAATAATATAATTTCTTACCCACTTCTCCCCATGGAGAGCACACATGATATGTGGAGAGCTTTTCCAGGCCTGTACCTTTTCTGGGGCTTGTAGAAATGTGATAGTAAGACAGTTAACCATCCTGACCCTGTTCTGTGGCTATCATGGCTTATAGAACAAGAAGTATAATGTGTTTGCAGAGTCTGTGCCCTACTCCTTATCCAAATGTCATGATGGATCCAAATGCACTTACTCATTTTCTCCCCTCTTCTCACTCCTAAGAAAACATATAAACACTTTTATGTTCTGTCAAAGTGTCCTGATTTCAGCTGAGGGACGTGGAGTTGAGTGCCCAGACTTTAAAGCCACTGCGCACAGTGTGATAAAATTTCCTTGAGCACAACTCACAATGTCATTTATCTCTTGGAAGTGGGTTTGCATTCCATGAGAATGTACTTAGTGCCTTGAGACTTGGCAATGGTATTGATGGCAGAGAAAATATTTTCTTGTTGGTTTTGCTAAACCTCTGTGTGGCTTTTGATGCTCTTGACTATGGTATCCTTCTGGGCGACCTCACTGGGATGGAGCTTGAAACTATTGTTTTACAGTGGTTCCATTCTTTCCTGGAAGGGAGGAGCCAGAAGGTGGTGCCAGAGGACTCCTGTTTGATCCTCTGGCACTGACCTTTGTGGTCCCTTAAGGGTTTTGTTTTTTGTTTTTATGCCATTTTATGCATACATGAAACTACTGGGCAAGGTTAATAATGTTATGCCATGTTAGATTGAAAAAACTTGGATACAATTATTTTCAGCACCACCACAAAAATGGGGGTGGGATGGGGGAATTTTGAGAGTTTTGGCTACCTTGTTGCTAAACTTATAATATCTTCCTATATCACTTTGGTTAATGTTTCTCTTGGTAATTGTTCATTGTTAGAAGCCTTGGGTATTCTTAAAAGAGAGGTGACAGCCAGAGAAGGGTTTTTATAAATGCCTGTTCAGCTCCCTATATGAATTTGAGGAAGAATTCTAAATTGGGGAATGAACAAACCTTGAACCAGTGTAGCATTAAAAAAAACCCGAGGCTGAGTAAATTACTTTTAAAAATTCTTTCTTTTAATGAAGAAATAATTCCATTCCAAAATATAGACACACAATTAAATAGTTTAATCACTTCAAAATATAACATGTCCCCAGTAGGCTTGAACGCACACACACACACACGCACACACACAACAATACTTAACAGCAATACAAAAAATCCAGTACGATAATAGTGCTGTTTACAATAGCAATGAATAATGTAAAACTTGTGGTGCGTATTTCGTTTGGAGTGGTATGAAATAACAGTAGTTAAAAACATCAGACAGTTTGTAGCCTCAAGGTGTAACTCTTCATACATTTTTGGTTCAGAAGAAAAAAATGCCTTCTCTTCTCAGGACACAGTGGAGTGCTTGTCATTCAAGTATCCTTGCACTGAACTGAACCAACCTAACTGTTGTCAGCTGACATTGTGATATTTACAAGATATATCTACAGTAATTCCAAGAGACTAATAAGAATGGGGGAAGATGATCAAAATAACAGCAGACATCTGGGCTAAATAATGATGCAACATTTTGTCTCATGCATATAAGAAAATACAGATTATCACAACAAAGGCCACACACCTTTTAATGCAGTTTTAAGTTCACATTACTACTTACAGAGAATCTATCCTCCATCTTTTCTTTCAACATTCAAGAATCCTCTTCAACAACACATTCTGATTTCTGCCTCGTCATTACCTTTCCATTGACAATCTACATGAAATTTTTGGCTGCAGTAAATGGCCCATGAAGAATTACAGGCCAGTTTAACCATTTCTGTAACTTTAAATGTTCACAATCTACAATCCAAACCAAGTTTAACAAACAAACAAGAACTGAATAGGCTAAAACAGAAGCCCAGATAGGACAGACTCTCACCTGACCCATCTCCTACATGTATTGTGTGCCACTGTATGGAAAAAAGCCACCCATGTCTTCACATGGTTTGTTAAGATACACATACCTAAAGTCTGACTCCCATAGGCCTCAACATCACATGAGATGTGAGAATTAACCATGGGATCTGACCTACATTGCTGGGATTTTACACATGTTCACCATAGTTAAATTTTATCCTTGTTGCACATTGGTGTCAGCTGACATGGAGGTTGGCTGGTGTATCAGATGTGTGGCACAAAGCAGCTTCCCCATCACATGTTGGAGAGAAATCAGTGAGAAAGCATTGCCCTTGTAGGGCCATTGCCAGCTTAACTGCTGGGTTATATAGTAAAACTAGGGCTGACATCCTGCTGTTGAATTACAATGACATAAATCAGACTTAAACCATTGCAACTCATTCTTTGGTGGTTGCGTCAATCAGAATTCTGTTCTGATCATGCAGTTACCAAAATCATTCCCCAACTGACCTTGTAAGCACCACCCACAGTGATCATTTGGATGTTTTCAGAGAGCAGAGGCAACAGTAAGATGTTCAGGTATTTTCTGAGGACATCTATAGGAAAACAGCAGGACACATCCCTGTTGATCCTCCCTCTCAATGACTACACAGAAAAGTGGAGTGGCGGCTGATCTACATACAAGGTGGGTTTGGAGGTTGCATTGGGAGATGTAGCTACGGAGACATAGCTTTATAATACAGACATATCTCCTGATTCAGGATCTTGACCTAGGTTTTGCTTTGGAGAGGAAATAAAAAGTGCTTAATCTTGGAGTTCCAGAGTACAAGAGGCCACCTAGAGATCTGCTTGGGGATTCTGTGAGGAAACCAGGCTGAGAGAATGGTACTTGGGTGGTGAAGGCAATAATAGTGCTACACATATCTTGCAATGATTAGATTCATGCATGATTCTTACATGCAATGTTTGTATATAAATAAAGGCGGGCATCAAAGCAACATGGTTATTAGTCCAACTGTAGAAATGTGGTTGGATTGGGATCATCCGGGTATGGCTGTGTTATAGTTCATTTCATCTCTTTTCAGGAATTAACTGGCTGGGGTCCTGAGCTGTTAGCAAGATTTACTAGTGCTAAGCACTATTAGAGAGTAACCAGTTCCTGAGAGAAAGGTATCGGAGAGGTAAGCTATCATAGGTTAAACATGTCAGCTTGGCAGATATTACAGGAGTACAGGTTAGTTATTGCAATGATGGGGACATGGGTGTGTCTTTAAATAAGTGTTTTTTCTTAGTTATCTGAAATCTGAGTGTCCTACTTAGTGACAATGCTGCAAAGTAGACAAGGAGAAAATTGGCTAATGGTAGCAATGATTCTGTGCATATGTGATAAGTAGTGATAACAATTTAATCAAAGTAATATTTATTCCATATAGAATCCCTAATGAAATTTCTAATTCAGACAAATAAAATACACACATTTTGGGGATAGCATTGTTCCAAAAATACATTTTCTACAATGTTTCTATTAAACTTGTGACTGATAGAACTGAGTTCTAAAATGGTGTTTGATATTAACGTTGTATCATATATGAAATATTTTAATAGCATCTTTGCCATTTCTACACCGCTTTCTGTTTTCACTTTAAACTGTTACTAGGTAGGACTGCATTGTAAATATATAGAGAATATTTACAATTTTTCTTCTTCTTAAGAACATGGTGAACTGCATCCTTTTTATTTTGCATTTTGGGGCTCTTCCATGACTTTTGAGCATCGGAAATGCCCTTCCTCAAAAGAAAACTTGTTCTGCACAGTGTTCTGCATAAAATACAGGGAATCTTAGCTGCCAAAGTATTCAGTAGTTAAACAATTTGTCATTCTCATAACTGTTGCAGATTCAGATCTACAGTAATTATTGACCAAACATCACTCCCTAAATCCATCTTTTCAGTTTGGAAGTGCCTGAAGGCAGTGCAGACTGAGGTGTAGGCAAATGGCATCTGCAGTAGTCTCGAGATAAACATTTGCTATAGGGAGCATACAACTCCCTTTTTTGCAACAGCTCTACTGGCTGCCAATGTGATTCTGGGCACAATTCAAAGTGTTGGTTATGACCTACAAAGTCCTATATGGCTCAGGTCCAGAGGGCCTTCTCAGTGGTTCCTACCCAGGGAAGACAGAATACCCTCTTTTTTTTGTATTTCTGTTGGTGAGCTAAAACCTTTAATTTAGACTGGCTTTTAAAACAGAGAGTTTTAAAATTAGGGACCAGGCTTAGCACAGCAAGTTAAGCTGCTATGCTACAGAAAAATCCTGTTGATCAGAAGGTTGGCAGCCTGAGCCCGGGTCAGAGTGAGCACCTGTTGTTAGCCCCAGCTCACCTGACCACCTAGCAGGTTGAAAACAGAAATGTGAGTAGATAAAATCGGTATCACTTTTAGCGGGGAGGTAATAAAGGAACCCTTAGGGACATTATTCAAAGGAAAGCTCCTTGGCATTGAAGATGGAGTGACAGCACCCCCCCCCCCCAATGGCCGGAGTTGAGCACGGCCTCCAAGATGCCAGAAATACAATGGGAAAAACTGCCTTTACCTCTGTTTGTGTTGTCTGTTTTTGTTAATTGTTGTATAATAGGCATTGAATGTTTGCCGTATGTGTGTTCTGCAACCTGCTCTGAGTTTCCTTTCGGGTGAGAAGGGTGGGATATAAATAGTGTAAAATAAAATAAAGGGCTAGGGGGTGCTGTGTTGTTTTAACTGAGCTTTTAATTTTTAAAACTGTATTTTAGCTGAATTATTTTAATACTGTAATTGGTTTTGTCTTGCTTATTTTTTCTGTTTTTAATTGCATTGTTTTAAATTTCTTGAAACAATTTGAGTAAAGACCTTGGGAGAAAATATTGTGATGATTATGATGATTACTTCAGAAGGACCCAAAGACTACCTGCCTGTTCCCGATGCCTCGTATGGTTAGGAGACTCTTGCATTCATCATTCCCTAGTGCTCCAGTCTGCAATGCCTTGGAAATCTTTTGGCTGGAACACCATCAGGCTGGAAATCTGGGTTTTATGAGTGACACTCTTAAACCAAGCTATGACAGCAGACTTCTGTCAACCTAGTTAGGTTTAATGATGTGGTATGCCAACCATTGGCTTAAAAATGGGGGGAAAATCCACAGAAGCAGTCATAAGTTTGCTCATTGATAAGAAAACCTCTGAATTTTTTCATTCTTCCATGTAGGAATGCAGTAAGTGAAGTTCTACATCTTTACCACATAAGTAATGGCTCCAAAATCATTGCAACCTATTTTTATAGGAATCCTGGTAGAAAAAAAGTTCTGTGATTTTTCTCATTCCTGTTGTTGTTGTTGTTGTTAGAACAGGATGCAGTGACTCAAAGGGACACTGTTGTAATGATCTCCCTCTCTTTTTCAGAACACCCTTTCCCCTGTGCTTTTCATAGATAGCTAATATCCCCATTCAGCTCTGAAAGAAAGTCTCACTACACACTTCCAAGAATGCATGCAGAACATCTGGTGGCTGGCTAAGGCAATGCACATTCAGAAATAAAAGGAAATAGTAGCAAGCGCACTTTTTAAAGCTTATACATTTATAGCTGAAGGCCTCAACAAACAGGATATGGAGAATGGAGAAATGTGAAAGAACACATGCTTACTAAAGTTCTAAAACAGCAATTAAATAATACTATGAAAGGTTATACATAACGTTAGTTTAGGGGTTTTATGGCACCTGTGGTTTATAAACAGCTTTAGCAACGAGTATTTCAAAACATAGTTCACAGTTTTAAGAAGATCTGTGCTGATTTTAAAAACTAGATTCTATATCATTTGAATGCTGCCTTTTGTATATGATATCTATTTGGAAAGAAAATATTTACACTAACTTCTATGGCTGATTTGTTAGATTATTTTGAAAGAAAACATTCCTAAGTTATGCAGTAGCCCTAAATCATAGAGATACTTCTTAGTGCATTTTGTACAAATCTGTTATTCTTTGTTTTTTGTGATTTTTTTGTGTTTTTTGCAGAAAGACTGTAAAACAAATTTCATCCTAAGACTGCAATACTGCATCTGGTCATATGCACTGAAATCCTACTCCTATTGGGATTTTTAGTGCATGCGGCTGGATTGAGGATTGCAGCGACTGTTCTAGTACTTCATTTTTGGGCTATAAATATGTACACTCGAGTATATTCATTCAGTGTTAAATGCTTTGTTTTAAAATTTCCTCTGTGGAAAAACAATGTACAGTGTGTAGGAAAGTGTTCTAAAATTTCAAACTACTGAGAAATCAAACTCCTAATAGAAACACTACTGTTATTGTAAACTGAACAGGTTCAAGACGATGTGCAAAGGGCTTGTGTTGTGTTAGTTCTGCTGTTAATTGCAACAGCAGCATTGTTCAGCCTGTGTTCTTCACCAGTAATGAGCCATGTTACGTAAGATGTTGCTGATATTAACTTAGCTTTAAATAAAAGTCTTTTTCCTTTTTCTTCAAAACAAACACCTACAAACTACAACTTTTAGAACAAAAAGGTACTGTGCTACAGTCTTCAGATCTAATTGGTTATTGTATGTCAGAGGAGCTGCACTTGTTTCACTTCTTCAGTGAAGTTGGCAGCCATCTTATCTCTGTCATCCATATGGGTGCAGCTCTCCTCCTCATCTGTTCTTACATCACTTTCGTTGTCCGTTTGACTGCAGCTTTCCTGTCAAGAAATATTTAACAGAATTTTGACGGCAGCCACGGTCACAATCTACAAGGACACACTGTCAGGCTTGTATATCATGTTATATATATACACAGTGTTCCCTCACATATTGTGGGGGTTCCATTCCAGGACCACCCACGATAAGTGAAAATCTGCAAAGTAGTGAAGCTATATTATTTTTGATATTTATACATTATTTTATATATTTTATATATTATTTTCTTAACCGCACTTCCTTACCCACCTCCCGGCCCATCCTGAGGGTGCATCCTGCCTCCTGCCTCCCTGGCCTCCGCAGCCCCTAGCAGGCAGCAGCAGCAGGCCAGGGAGGCAGGCCTTCCCTGCTGCACTTCCACTGGATGTAAATATTTTATATTTTTAATATTTTCAAAAACCCACAAAACAGAGAGCCCGCATAAAGCGAACTGCGAAGTAGCAAGGGAACACTGTATATTAGGAGGGAAAAATGGTGTAAAACCTATACTACAGCCCTGATCAAATGTCCTGAAGGCACATCACTGCATATTCAAACATACTGTACATTAAGTGTGTTGGTTTTAGTTCCACCCTGTAACAACCCATATAATGCATTTTGGTTGGACAAGAGGAGTATTACTTAGGAAATGGATGACTATGCCCAGATCTTCATTATTCAGGAGGTGGTTGCAGTGGACATCCCAGCCTAAGCTAGTGAGAGATGTTTCTACTTGAGTCTCTAAAGATACAGCAGGATGTAATGAATGTTGTCTTTGAGAGGGATTAGAACCCCTTTTTACCTCATCACACTAGAGAATGAATCCACTTTAAATCCGGTTGCTGCTTCCTAGAGAATTCTGGGGTTTGTAGTTTAGGGAGGAGCTTTTAACAGTCTCACTAAACTTCAAACCCTAGAATTCTGCAGGAGGCAGAAACTGGATTTAAAGTGGATTCAAGTAAAAGTGAAGTACAAGTAAACAAGTAGAGCACCACTTGCTTGGAAAGAAAAGTCACCCAACACCCATACTTGCATCTGTCTTGGCTGAGTTTAAATTTACTGGTATTCAACCAATCTATTACTTATAAAATGTTTTCAAATAAATACCAATGTGTAGTTGGTATACAACTCACCATAACTCATTGTAAAAAACAATAAGAAGGATCTAATGGGGTTGTATTCAGAGTATAGGTTTATGTATTAAATTTGGCAAAGCCCAAATAAGAACAATTGCATTTGCTAAGATTTTAAATAATTTCTTCTGTAAGAATTATTTTAGAACAAAGGTACAGAAAGTGCACATTGGTATCCTGTGGCTACAATTTTATGTTAACAGGATCATCAATGCAAGCTTCCAGTAAAATATGCATTTTTCTCCAGATTGCTGCTCAATTGCAACAGAAATAAAAGCAAGCATTTACAATATATGATCTTTGTGAGAAGTATGGATGACACATGAGTTGATTATTTAATACATCCAATTAATTATGAAACTGCTTATATGTTTTAGATTATGTTTAAAGAAACATAATCTATTGTCACATTAATCCTCCCTCCTTCCTTGGGAAAAAAACTCTTTCCCTATAGCCAGTAAGTATGAAGCATAAAAAACGCAGACAGAGCTGTATCTCTCAGTTTTTCCTCTCCTATCTCTTGGAGTAAGATATATACATACACACACACACACACACACACATATATATATATACACACACACACACAAAAACCCAAACCCAACAAATATTAGGCAATTTTTCATCAAAATAGTTGCACCCCTTTTTTTTTAGGGGGGGGGGAAGCAAAAATGGGACTATTATAAAATAAAAATATGATATTTCACACAATGCAGTTACAGCAATTTGTCAGTGCCTTGACTCCATTCTATGGAGTCTTGGGATCCCACAGAACCCAACTTTTTGAGCTATTTTGAATTCTCTGGTGTCACCATAAACTCCATATCCCATACATTAGGCAGAAAAAATGAAGTGCAAAGATTCAGAATGAGGGATGTCTAGCTTGACAGCAATATGTGTGAAAAAGATCTGGGAGTCCTTGTGGACAACAAGTTAAACATGAGCCAATAATGTGACGAGACAACTAAAAAAGCCAATGGGATTTTGGCCTGCATCAATAGGAGGATAATGTCTAGATCCAGGGAAGTCATGCTACCCCTCTATTCTGCCTTGGTCAGACCACACCTGGAATGCTGTGTCCAATCCTGGGCTGGAATGTGTCCAGTGGAGGGCGACTAAAATGATAAAGGTTCTGGAGAACAAGCCCTATGAAGAGTGGCTTAAAGAGCTGGGCCTGTTTAGCCCGCAGAAGAGAAGACTGAGAGGAGACATGATAGCCCTGTATAAATATGTGAGGGGCAGTCATAGGAAGGAGGGAGCAAACTTGTTGCCCTGGAGACTAGAACACGGAACAATGGCTTCAAACTACGGGAAAGGAGATTCCACCTTGAGGAAGAACTTCCTAACTGTGAGAGCTGTTCAGAAGTGGAACTCTCTGCCCAGAGTGTTGTGGAGGCTTTTAAATAGAGGCTAGATGGCCATCTGTTGGGGGTGCTTTGAATGCGATTTTCCTGCTTCTTGGCAGGAAGTTGGACTGGATGGCCCATGAAGTCTCTTCCAACTCTATGATTCTATGGTTATATCCAGGATTCCACAGGATGCAGCTATAGTGGTTAGAGTGGTACCAAATTGTGCTACAATTGCGTACTGTGCAAAAGTACTACAATTGTGTACTGTGAATGTGCCACTTTCTTTCCTTTCTGAATTTCCTGAAGTATCCCAGGTAGAGGGGGAAATAAGAAACAAAACCAGGAGTGAGTGAAGGAGCAGCTCACTTTCACTCAAAACTGTGTGTTCCTGGCCACTTGTTTCTCCAGCAATAGCAAGATAATGGCCAGAGAGCAACCAACAGAATATGCCAACAACAGTATTGTCCCTGGTATCAATGGCTTATCTCTGGTATATGAAATGGAGAAGAAAGACACAAAGGGTATAAGGGATATGACAGCAGTATGTTTAGATATACAGATGCACATTCAATAGGACCTGCTAGTAAAACTAGTTGCTGACCAGAGGCTTTAATAATATAATACTTACTGGAAAGGAGAGTGATGCAAGGATAGCTACTCATCCTTGCAAGCTGACCTGTGAATAAAAAAGAAAGTGAAAGCTGAAGATGTGAGCAGCCAAATCTGTGTAGCATTCTGCTGAGAGCAGCATACAAAAGAGGTGAGAAGGTGTTTGCAAACCTTGACAGTACAGAGGAAACAACTTAGCATGCAGGAAGAAGGTAGCATCTGCAGTTAATAAGGCTGGGGTGAAAGAAAAGCATAAGTCTTGCTCTTCTGAATGTAAATATTATTTGGTTCACTCTCCCAAATTTTTGTGCTCCTAATTCTTTATTGACTGTTTTTTACAATTTATGTGTGTGATTGTGATTTTGTTGTTGGAATAGTTTTAGGTGTATTCTAGACATCAACTGTTCTTTTAAAAAAAATTAGGCCAATGTACCTGGGCAAAATGATGATAGAAGGACCTCCTGAACCAGACTCAATCAGCCCTACTTGAAAAGAGACTTTAATACAGTCTCGCTTATCTGACCTTCGCTTATCTGACATCCTGTCTTATCCAATGTCCTTATCTGATACCCCCATTTTCCTCCAGCATTTCCCCAATTAAAGGTGCGCTCCCCACCTCTCTCTCCATTCCCAATAAGTGAAAAAGGCAAGACAAGGAGGGGGAAGGAAAGGGGGAAAAGAGGCAGGACTGGAAGTGGATGTGTCCTCCCTCCTTCGCTCTGTGATTTCCATGCTCCTCTTCCGCTTCCTGGCACTTCCTGCTGGGCCACTCTAGTCCTTGCCTTGCCTTAACCCTTTGAGTCCCTGTTGTTAGTATTCTAGGTGTCTAGTGGTGCGTCGGACAGATAACAGTAGGAGACTGCGTATTATCCAACATTTTCATTTATCTGACATTCTGCCACCCATTTTATGTCAGATAAGAGAGACTCTACTGTATGTAGTGAAATAACACACATATTCTCATTGTTAAAATTACTCAGTGTGTGTGTTGGAATTATGCTCCACAATACAGTATTTAATGAGGCCCTCAGCTATCTTTGCCAATGAATACAATCCTTATGAGACAATGCAATCCTTGATTTGTTCTGGGTAGATATAGACAAGATCCCTACTGGAATTCTTATACTGGGATGTAAGCAGACATGAGTTGCAATCCTTTGAACTCTGTGGGGTATAGCACCAGAGATGTATTGTGGGTACTTGTTGACACTATGCTTGTAGAGTGGGTTAAAAGACACACATAATTATGCCTGTCTTTTCCCTGCATAATGCCCATTTGGTTTTTGAGATCAGTTCTATGCTTCACTGAAAAGCACTGTGTTCATGACAACACGAGTGTTCTACCTTTGGAAATGAAATTTATGATGGCTCATTCACACATGCAAATCATTTCACTCTACAACCATGAAGTGCTAAACATGTATGTGTGAATCAACCTCTCCCCATATTGTGTATCTGTAAAAATTGTTGACAAAGCACATTTTTGACAAGGAATGTTACTAGCATTTGGGATGCACGAAATAACAGCTTGTGAGGGTTAATGGCACCCTTTTTCATTTCAGTACAGAAAGTACTTACTGATGACTCAGAGAAGGAAAAAAATGAATGAATCTAAGTGTTATTTTGAATCAGAAGCCTCATTGCCATGTAAAACATGTACTTTAAGATGGCAATAGAAATATAATCAATCTAGTACAGTGTAATTTGTCAAGTCTAAGTTAAGCTTAATAATGTTGTTTGGTTGTCTCATTTTTACCTGATAAGCTTCATCCTGAAGCTTTTGTTTCAAATATTCCTCCATCTTGAGCTCATTCTCTAGCTGGCGGACAGAATCATTTTCATAGTTCTCATCATCTGCTCTAACATAAGGATCTCCATCTTCTGTAACCCTAAAGACAATTATTAATAAATAGCTTCCTAAAATAAAAACAAGCACCAACATTCTCAACAATGCTTGTATTATCTGCATAAATGTGAAAGGCAATGCCAGTTTTATGCTTTTTTTCTTTTAGCTATATATATTAAAGTGATTATTAATTTCATTGGGCTAAATTAAGTCTCAGTCCTACCTAGACTAAACAAGTTAGCTGTAACCAACAATCACATCAAATTTAATGGGCTTACTCTAGGTAAGATCAATGTTTGATTTAACCATTTGTGACATTCTTCACATGTCACCTTTTAAATATTCATGTACAAAAAATATCTGTACTGTAGGATATATATATATATATATATATATATATATATATATCCGAGCTCAATTGCAACTTCAGCAAAACTAATTGTAAGAGTTCCTTCCTAGACTGTATATATCTAACTAAAAACTGGAGGTTGAACACGTGAATCCTTTCCTATGCAAAAATAAGCATGCTCCTATATGCAGTAAACTAGCGCTTCATGAAGTTCCTAGCTTTCTCCTTATATGGACATTTTAAAAATGGGAGTAAAGAACAATACATCATTACTATTCATAGGCTATTCTTTAGTTAAGAGAACTACTCAATTTTGCATGAGCATAACATTATTGCTTTGTGTCAGATATTTTACCGAAGACAAAAGGGAATATGTAATGTGTAACAAGGAAGAAAGAAAGAAAAAAAAGGAGCAAGACCGTGTGGGAGGGTACCCACATATCGCTGCGAATGGTTCCAGTGGCAGCTGCACTGTGAAGGTAGCCTGGCTTCCGGGCCTGGATCTGCGCAAGGAAAGCCTTTTCGGAAGTGGGTGATGGGACAAGGTCATCAAAATGAGTCCGACCAAACTCAGAATCCACATTACTCTCTGTTTCGCTTCCAACTTCTGTGGGAAGAAAGGTGGGGATGACGATATTATGGTTACATGAATTCTGGTATGTTTTTCTCCTGTTTTTTTAAGCATAGAGTGAGTTTAGTATAATCTGAGATGGCTCAAAATAAAGTGATATATATAAAATTTCAACTATAGAGTTGTTTCATTCCTGTAATGTCCACATAGATTATTTGTCAAGTGGATTTTAAAGCACTGCAACAAATTGATGTCCTTGTTCTGCATTTCATTTCCCTTTTACAGATTGAGACACTAAATAGATTTGAATGGACTCGGAACATATTCCAGTGAGATCCACTTGGGAGCATGGTTTAAGATTCAACCCACAGGTTTGTCCTCCAGTATACCATGCAAGAGTGATTCCTGATTAAACCATTTGATTCAGAATTGGACTCAGAAGAAGGTCTGTGCAAGCAGAAAGGAAGAGAAATGCATGGCCATGAAGAATACTAGCAATGATCATGCTCTCCCAAAAAGTCTATACATTGAATGTCTTACATTTACTAACCCTTATCCAAATATGCTTAGCAGCAGATGTGTTTTGGGTTTTTGAGAGTTTTTCAAGATTTAGGAATATCTGTAGTTGCAAATACGTACATAATGAGTTATTTTGGGGATGGGACCCAATCTAAAGAGGACATTCATTTATATTTCATGCACACCTTAGACACATAGCTTGAAGATAATTTTATAGAATATTTCAAATAACTTTGTGCATGAAATAAAGTTTGTGTATGTTGAACCATCAGAAAGCAAAGGTGTCATTAGCTCAGTCACCTTTGTGGACAATTTGTGATTTTATAATTACAGATAAGGGATGCTCAACCTGTGTTTGGTTAAGCAACTTCAATAAAATTGCAGGACATTTTATTTACTGAATGAACGAATGTTCATTTTATATATCATTTTTCTATATCAACCTTCAGCAGAAGGAATTTCAGAGCATTCTTATACATAAATAACTTTTTAAAGAAAGGTAATGTAATAAAATTTCACAACCATTACAACTAAATTAAACTAAACAGCAATAAAAATTTCAATTACAGGAACACACAATGATTGTATAAACAGATACCTGGCACTGAATATGTTAAAAATTAGGCATTGTTTTTTTGTTTTGTTTACTGGCATATTTTATTTTGAAGTGTGGACTGATACAGAAAGGGAAATGTATTGTAAATGTCTAAATGTAATATTTATTTCTACAGACATCTGCAGACAAATTACAGCAAGACATTCCAAAGGAGTAATGTGGATTGCTTAGAAACTCCAGAGCACATAACAACAATGCTAGTGCCTGGTAATAATATTTGAATTTTACGTGAAGAAACTCTTTTCTTTATTTCTCTTCAGTTTTCCCATTACACCTTATTTCATTCTAAGGGGAGCAACAAAGTACTCAAGTAATTTCTTCTTTTTAGTCAGTTTGACTGCCCATTACAACTAGAGCTGCAACACTGGCCTATGCAAGCTCATTTAAAACTAAGACAATTTAGTTTACTTCCAGTAAAATTCCATAAGACATGTTTCCTTGCATATAAACTATACTGAATACAGTGGACCTGACTACAGCACTATCTATTGTAAATAGCAAATATATGCATGTCTGCCTCTACAACCACTTGACAATAATATGTTTATTAACTACAATTGGCTTTACAATTTTACACATGGGTAAGAATCATGCAAACTGTATCCTCTCCTCCATTCAAACCCAACCCCCACAACACTGATTCTGACCTAAAATTGGATATATAGGACAAGATCCTGGATTGAAAGGCACATCACTCATGAGCATTCTCTGGCTTGTAGAGAGCAAAGGGAAAGGTAGAGAAGTGCTCAGTTTTATTCTTATATCTGGAACCAAGTGACAGATAACCTCTGAGATGTCTCTGAGTTCCTCCATAGGACCCTGAAATATAGGGACCCACGGAGGACCTATATTGGATATAGCTGCATGCCACTGCTGAGCATATAGCTATATCTATCTCATATAATTACATTAGACATTGGTTTTTTTATTAATATTTTAGGGAAAATATTCCAAAGCTGGGGTGACACTAAAAAGAAGCTTCTCGCTTCTATAATCATATAATGCAGCTCTGATATGGAAATGTTTGGAGTAGACTCTCAGCAGAAAAGTCTTAACATATGAACTGGTTGCTCTGGTAAGCTGGTATTTCTATATCTTTAAAAAGCAGTACAGAATATACCTGCATGCCACCTTTTTAGTCTCTATCTACCTACCTATCATCTATCTATCTATCTATCTATCTATCTATCTATCTATCTATCTATCTATCTAGTATTACTATAACAGTGTACTTATATTTTAAATAATCAAACCTGAGTTTAGTTCTTTCACCAGAGAAGACATAGTGTTGGTGATAGAATCTGCTGCCACCAGCAAGTCATTTCTTAAATTCCTCCTTGTGCCTAAGACAAAAAAGCAGAGCACTCAATATTTTTAGCAGAGAATGTGTTAAGATTCTTCTTAATCTATGCAAGGTTAACAACCTAGAACATGCTCAACACAGCAAGTAGAAAAACACGACTGAGTTCCTTTGGTGGTCTAGTAACGTAAGCTTTGACAGGGATGTGAAAATCTTCAAGTCTCAAATTTGTTGGATTTCTTAGAAACTCAATTGCATCTTCTTTCTGCACTTGTTTTGTATTAGATTGCAATACTTCGGCTGGCATCCTGTTTAGTATTTATGAGATTGTTAATTGGACTTACTCCATAAAGCTGGATAATGTCAGGGGGTATCATTGTGTGAAGGAGATCCAGCTGGTTCTTAACTCAAGAAACCAGTATTATTGCTGCTCTTCCCACTTACTCATACAAGGAAGAGGGATCAGAAGAGAAGTGCTCTGTGCTGATGCCTACAGATGCTGGCCAAATCCCAAGGATGGAGTTCAATCAATCCTTTAAAAATTGGGAATGAAATCTCTTCTCTTTGCTAGTATGGGCTCTGGGGAGAGGTCCAAACGATAAGCCTCTGTTGAACAGATGTTGTCCTCCCCTTCTATAGGAAACTGGATTGAGATGAAGCAGTCTCCAGATATTTCAACAGCTTGTATAAAAATCACCACACAATGTAATGCATTATGAAAAGGCATCATTGCAAATGTTAAGGAGGACAATGCATCTTTCTGTACACTTAATTAATAAAGGATGCTCTGCCCATTAAAGATAATGGTGAAAGTCTGGTTTATTAGGTTAAGTGACATCTTATGGCTTTCATTTCAGATCAAAGAGCTTCAATCAACTTTCCAAATTGTTTTACTCCACTCCCCCACTCGGCAAAACCCCCCAGTATTCTGGCACAATAAAGATTAACAGTTGGTATCCTGTTGAGTAGTTACAAGATTGTAAGCCAAACTTACAATTGTGTAACTTTTAGGATTCATATTTATAGTAGTTAGTACTAGATGTGACCCAAAATGTTTCCCCATAAGCCAGGCAGTGACAACCACTGTGGTATTGTGGTCTGAGGGTTGAACTAGGACCATGGGAGACTAAAGTTTGAAACCCAACATGGCCATAGGAATTTACCAGATGACCTCTGTCACAGGTCAACCAGAGGAAAGCCACTGTAAACCTTCTCTGAATAAATCTTGCCAAGAAAACCCCATGAGGGTTGACATAAAAGGATATGACAATGAATAACAAGCAAGGTGGAGCCCCCAACTGGAGTGTTTAAAGGTGCTGCAGATCAGGGCACTAGGAAATGAAATCAACAGTGTTCTCCTAGTTGTGTGATTCACTTAGAGAAGCATCTTCAGCAAGACCCTGAGGGATCTCTTTAGCCCTTTGTACTCAATGCCCTCTGCAACTGAGAGAGTGCTGAAAAGGTCATTCCCCAGTGTTGTGATCTGCAGCATCTTGGAACCCCTTTGGCTGTGGCACTCCAGGCTGAAAAGGTAGCTTTTTGTGGGTGGCATAATGAAGCATCTTAGCCTAATGTGCATTGTTACTAGTGTATATACTTGGTGTAGCCTGGGTTAGGCATTTTGCAATGCTATTTATTAGAAATACTCATGGTTTGTTTTTATATTTTATGAATGGTCCCAGAAAATGCAAACCTGTATAATGGGACTTTTTACAAAATCCTACAGCTAATTGGCTGCAACTCCCATCAGCCCCACATCTGGCCAGTTGTGATTCCCATTGACCTCACATCTGGGTGGCTTTGACTCCCATCAACCCCATATCTGTCTGGCTGCAATTCCTATCAGCCCCACACCTGGTTGGGCTTCAACTCTCATAAGCCTTAGATTTATCTGGGCTTCAACTCATGGTTCTCCTAATTAGTCAGATGGGCCAGCCTTCTTGTTAAACTGCAATTCTCATCATCCCCAGCCAGCCTAGCAAAGGGGTAAGGATATTGGGAGATGTAGCCTGGGAAGGAGCTGAGCTGTCTGACTGGTATAGGAGGAGAGCCTGCCTTTGGTTATGGGTGGGAATCATGTGTCTCTCCAGATGAGGCTGAATTCCGACTCCCATAAGCCTTTATCAGGTCCCTAAACCCTATCGGTATTTTAAGTTGGATCATGATGGGCATGCATACCATGTTTGTTTGAAATGCAACCAGTATAACAAGAGAACAATTTTATAACTTACCTTGTGCAAAAGCTTCTTGCACATCTCCCCCTACACCTGTCAGAGAGTCCTGAGGTGTGTGTGCTGGAGTTGAACAGGCAGATGCAGATCTGATGGGCATTGGAATTGGTCGACTGATGGTATGGCTGGGAGATGAACGCGGAGAGCCTGCCCCTTGGGTCTAGAAAACAGAATACAAATGGTTAAACATGACTTGCAAGAGATAGTACTCTAAGGCTCCCATTTCCTCTTATATTTCTCCTGTGCAAAAAGTCAGACAATACCAATGCCATGCTGAAGACCAGAATCATCCTGATGGAAAGCAAAGGCCTCTGTTTGCTAGTTAATAAAGCTAAAACTACACACTCATAAAAGAGGAGGTGAATCATGTTGGAAAGGGGAATAAATATCTCAAAGACTCAATATTCAAATGTGAACAATTATTAAATCATTATGTTTATTGCATTTTTTCAAGGTGTATAATTTTTAGTAGTGCATGTAGAAATCCAAGACTTTTCCTAGACTGTGTGGGATGCAAAAGTGGTGAGGAGATAGAAAAGTGTGGAGAGAAGTGAGAATAACAATTGGGGTGGGGGTGGGGGAGATGAATAAATATAGAGAGGGTGAGGAAAATCCAAAAAAGTAAAGATAGTGAACTGCTCCAGAACATGTGGAAGGAGCATCTAAAGAATGGATATGATTAAATGTAAGCAAGTATAAAGTCATATGTCTTACAGGGGAAAAAACCTCAGTTTCATATATATGTTGATGGAAATTTTGCTGGAGGCAACTGCCTCGCCTTACTCTCGCAGACAATGTAGTGAACATTTCAACATCATGCAGAGCAGCTGTAAAAAATGCAAATACTTATGGGATCATTAATTCAGGTCATTAGAAAAAGAACTGAAGATAACATAATCAGTACTGTAACACTATCTATGATGCAGTCATCTGTGGAACATTGCACATAGTTCTGGTCGCCACACTATGAATTAATAGAGAAGAGGAAATGGTGCAGAAAATGATAACCAAAATGACTGGAGCAACTCTCCTGTGAAAACCATGTTCCTAAGACAGAACCATAGAGATGGAAGATGCTGTAGGCCAATGCTGCTTAAAGGGGCTGTCCCTTTACTGGTGTTAGCCCCATAAGCCATCAGCTTCCAGTCAACAGAAAATTTCCAGGAAAGACAATGGGCAAAAATGTGTATTGGTCCTTGACACATTAGATAGCTGGAGAAGAACTGTTCTAGGCTACCAAATCTAGTCTCCTATGTAATACAGAAGGGCCACAGCTGCAGCATTCCATGGAGATAGCTGCCCAGCCTTTGATTGAATACCTCAATTGCCCAGGCTGTTGCGCAGCTAGTTAGTAGCCAGCTGCATTCAATTACTACTGACCGATAGGTCATGAGTTTGAAGCCAGCCCAGATTGGAGTGAACTCCAGACCATTAATAGGCTAGCTTGCTGTCAACATATGCAGCCCGAAAGTTGCATCTGTCAAGTAGGAAATTTAGGTACCGCTTTATGCGGCGAGACTAATTTAACTAATTTATGACACCACGAAACCTTCCAACAGTGTGCGTAAGAATGAAGTACTCCATCAAGGACTCGGTGTCACAAGTGGATGGTGAAGCGGCAGCTCCCCCTGTGGCCAGAATTGAGCACTGAATGTTTGCCATGTATATGTGCATTGTAATCCCCCTGAGTCCCCTGCGGGGTGAGAATGGCAGAATATAAATACTGCAAGCAAATAAATAAATAAATAAATAAATAAATAAATAAATAGGGTAGAAAAAAAATCTCACTCTTAAGTGTTAACATGGTTTCCTTCTTCATCTAATGTTCAATTAAAATCTACAATTTTGTAGTTGAAGTCTACTATATCATGCATATCGTGATTCAGTGTGTCTGGAGCATTGACTGATGTGAACTACTGCCTTGAGAATGATGGTTCAAAGCAGCAAAAAATGGGTAAACTGTTCATATAAATAGAAGTATGGAGTAGATAGTTAGAAGCAAAAATTGACAAAACACTCCCAAGAGCATGCAGATATCCTATACTTTCACAGGCATGCTTCTTTGACAAGTCAATCCTATATTGAAACCCTCAGATAGACAGAAGCAATTGTATATTGAGAGCTCCAACTAGATTACCATATTTAGTTGATGAGCTGCATTTTTGGCAAACCTGCTCTAAGGTCATGCACACACTATCCAATGACTACTGAGATAGGAATCTGTAATCAAAATATATTTTCCATTTAATAGGAAGCCGTGTGCATTTATTAATAGACTTACAGTGGGAAAACACCACTGTTTGTACAGCTTGACACTTCTTCAAAGCACCACTGCCTTAAACTTGTCAAAAACTACAGCCCTTTCCCTGAAGCCACCTTTCCTGGTGTAGGACCCTTTCATCTTGGAAATGTACTTAGGGAAAATCACTGTTGCAGTTGCAATACTAAGGTCCGAAAAGAGTTTGCTGCAGTTATAGTAATGCCTAAAGGATTATTTGCCCATATATGGTCCCACCAATGTCTTGAGACTTTCTCAAAGGGGAATATAGGAAAGGGCCTTTTGGGTGACAGTCTCCAGGTTTTTGAGCTTTCTTCCCTGAGAAACTAAATTCAGACCCTCCTTGCTATCGTAGGCCTTTTATTTTGTCAGGGCTTTGAGGATGTATTGTCAAAGGCTTTCATGAACAGTATCACTGGGTTATTGTAGGTTCTTCAGCCTGTATGGCCATGTTCTAGAAGCATTATCTCCTGATGTTTCACCTGCTTCTATGGCAGGCATCCTCAGAGGTTGTGAGGACCTCACATCCTCTGAGGATGTCTGCCAGAGATGCAGGTGAAACGTCAGGAAAGAATGCTTCTAGAACATGGCCATACAGCCCGAAAACCTACAACAACCCTTTGAGGATGGACTACTCAGGATGTTCTTCTTTGTTGTGGTTTTGCTTTTAAATTGATTGATGGCTTAATTACATTTTTATCTATTGTGAGATGAAAATTTTCTAGATGTTCCTGCTTGGAAGCTGCCTTGAGTCCCAGACTGGGAAACATTTGGAATGATAATAATCTTCCTGATTTTCCAGAGATTTAAAACATATTTAGTGAATTCATCTGAATGCTACCAGTCATTGGCTGGAGGTACAATGGCCTCCTTGTTGTTGCTTTAGTGCCCATAGCTAAGCACAAGGGAGCAGCCAAGGCCCCTTAAGACCTAGCATTTAAGCCATGCAATATTCCTCCTTTATCATTTAGCAAGGCCACACCCTGTAACTAAAAAAAGGAAAGGAATATTATATATTGACAAGTATATAGTATCTCCCATTAAGGAAGAGCAATAATGCAACACAGACTTATATTTGTTAATGGGAAAAAGGATTACAATGCTATGGTAAAAAGAAACAGAGCGGAGTTGCACCATTTTGGAGAAGGGCACTGAAGCTGCTTTGGATCCTTAATGCTGGGAGGATCTATTTGACTCTGCCAGATTTAAACATAGTTATGTCGGTTTGAAGGAACCCATGCCACATTTCTATCACTCTTACATCTGTAAACAAGATTCCTTTTTTCCAGCAGTTACAATCATGTAGAATTTTGCATCAGTTATACATATATGAAAGATACAAAAATTGCTTTCATAGCAATGGTAACATACAAAACAAAATCCGGTTAGTTTGTTTTAAGTGCACAGCTCCCTCTACTGGAAACTAGTGTGAACTACAAAATAAATTATTATAATAATAATACATGCATTGATTTTAATGGCTTTTTATCATTTTGAGTGTATGTTTTAAATTGTCTTAAGACAGTTAACAGTTGGATTTTTAAAACGTTGATCTTGTATGTTCTTAAGTGTACAATCACTATTTTACATTATAATCCCCTTGAATACCATTTTGGAAAAAGATGGAGTATGAATCAAGATGACGACGATGGTGATTATATTTCTGGGTTGTTGTAGGTTTTTCTGGGCTATATGGCCATGTTCTGGAGGCAATTTTTCTCCTGACGTTTCGCCTGCATCTATGGCAAGCATCCTCAGAGGTAATGAGGTCTGTTGGAACTAGGAAAAATGGGTTTATATATCTGTGGAATGACCAGGGTGAGACAATGGACTTTTGTTTGCTGGGGCTAACTGTGAATGTTTCAGCTGATCACCTTGATTTGCATTCAATGGCTTGGAAGCGCCTGGGGGGAATCTTTTGTTGAGAGTGATTTCATGTGCCTGTTTGTTTCCCCTCTGTTGTTTTGCTGCTGTAATTTTTGAGTTTTTTTTAATACTGATAGCCAGATTTTGTTCATTTTCATGGTTTCTTACTTTCTGTTGAAATTATATTTCTGCCCAATATTCTTCCAGAGAGAACTAAAATTTAACTTTGAAGAAGGAATCTTATGAATACTTAAAAAAGACGAATTTCAGACAATTAACATTTAGCTAGTTCAGTCCCACAGTAGTTTTGGCATGCTTGTAAAATGAAATAGTGCTGAGCTGAAAGAAGGGACGTTTCTTGCACATTTCTTCAGCAACCCATCCCATCCATTGCACTGCTTTTTTCACAGTTTGTTCCCAAGATTTTGTATAATAAATGTGGCATAACTGTGGTATGGTGAGATGGAACGTCTTATAAGATACAGGTAAAGGTTTCCCCTTGACATTAAGTCTCGTGTCCGACTCTGGGGGGTGGTGTTCATCTCCATTTCTAAGCTGAAGAGTTGGCATTGCCTGTAGATGCCTCCAAGGTCATGACTGCATGGAGCACCATTAACTTCCTGCTAGAGCGGTCCTATTGATCTACCCACATTTGCATGTTTTCGAACTGCTAGGTTGGCAGAAGCTTAGAAATGGAGATGAGCACCAACCCTCAGAGTCGGACATGACTAGACTTAATGTCAGGGGAAATGTTTACCTTTATCTAAGTAACTCAAGAAAAAGATTATCCTCCCTATTGTGCCCATACAAAGAGGAAGTTTCTGTGGGCTTCTCTTCCTGCCAGTCTCTTACCCCTCTTTCCCTCCCTGCCTTCCACAAGCCTCAAATGGAGCTGGAGTAAAGTTCACTTTTAAAAGTCAGCCCTTTGCCTTGTTACACTGTTTGAAAAAGTTACCTGTTGCCATTATTCACTACAATGTTGAAACAAGTAATCACATTTTGAGTTTATTGTTATTGTGTGCCTTCAAGTTGTTTCTGAATCATAGTGATCCTAAAGCAACCCTATAATGGTGTTCTCTAGGCAAGATTTATTCAGAGGAGGTTTGCCTTTGCCTTCATCAGAGGCTGTGAGTATTACTTGCCCAAGATCACTCAGGTTTTTGTGGCTGAGCAGGGACTCAAACTCTGTTTGACCCCGAATCTAACACCCTAGTTGTGGCACTTCTAATTACTTTGCTATTATTTCAGAGAGAAAAAAAACTTGATCAATAAAAAGGCATAAAAGTTGAAAAAAATGATGTCAAAAGACCCCCAAAATCCTTTGATTGATTTATTAAAATATTGACATCCTGCTTTCTATCCAAAGATCTCATGGATGCTTGAAGTAAAACCACCCTGATAAGTTTACACAATAAAAATAATTTCAAAGGGATAAAACATATTAATAATGTAACAAAGAAAAAGTAGATGTAACTTTTTAAATAAAAATATATATGCAGGAGGATTGTATGAAACTAGAACTAGGAACTAGCATTTGTTACAGCACCAAAACCACTAGTTTTAGGTAAATTAATAGTGGAAGGAGATGGTGTGGTGGTTTCAGTCATGAACTAGGAAGCTCAGAGACCAGAGTTTGAATCCACTGGAAACGCAGTGGAGGACCTTGGGCAAGTCATAATCTCTCAGCCTCAGAGGAAGACAAGGGCAAACTTGCTGAGCAAATTCTGCTAAAAAAATCTAAGACAGGTTTGTTTGAAGGCACTCCACAACAATGTTAATTGTAACTTATTACCTTCCTGAATGCTGCTTCTGATAATGTCCATTACAGATCAAAAAGGTTATGCAAGATTCTTTTTTTAACAGTCTGAATTTCTACCCAGATGAATTGCTGGAAAATGATGAACAATTAGGTTCCCAGCAGGTTGGGAGCAATAGGTGATTGGAGTTTCAAAGATACAGCATTGCCATTGGTTTGCCTCAGCATTTCTTACCAACTTAAATGACCTCAATGCTTTCAAATCAGCAGGGAGCAGTTAATGTTTACATGCTTACAGTACTGAACAGAGTTAAAGAGTAACTTTCATTGTGCTAAATATGGCTATATATCAGCACTGAGCAGTGGAGATTCTTTACGTTTATGCTGACTTTTCAAGAACACCATAACTCTTAATTAGCTGACTGGGTAGTGCTTTAACTCCTCAGGTAAAAGATTTACAAACATGCAAGGTTGTATTATTTATTGGTTTGGGGCATGTACACACATTTCAAGCAGATGTAGCAGAACACACATTTGGATCACAGGAGCACTCCTTAAGAGTTAGTGACATCTACAGGATAAATAACTTACTCCCTGCTTCATTTCTTCCTCCTAAAGAAAGATTGGATCATTGTAAATTAAATGAATCAAGAGTTTGAAGCAGAAGGCAGAAAAGCATAACAACAATAGAGCAATACAATAAAACAGATTTCTGTTGTCATCCATATGCAAGAAAACCCACCCTTTAGAACCATGCACATCTGAATACTATTTTTTGTGTGTGAAATAATGAGGAAGAGTAGTTGTCTTTATATCCTGTTTCTGAAGTTCTAGAACATTATTTTTGTCAAGGGCAATATATCTTATGGGATTAATTTGATGGGGGATCACATGCTGGCAGTGGGCAGAGTTGAAACTAATACTGGGTGGATCCAGAGCCAGAAGTGTGTGGAACTACTATCTTCTCTGTTTTTTTCTTGTCCCTCCTTCTGCTGCAGAGGACATAGAGAGATCTGACTTGAGAGCTTAGTGAAAGTGATTTTGAAATTAGCCTGAGGACAGCATGTTATTCGCTATTCTTCTAGAGACCCTTGACTGGCCACGTTTGAAAATAGATACATCTAGATCAGTGGTTCCCAACCTGTGGTCCATGGACCACCAGTGGTCCTCAAGAATGAAAATATGGTGCATAGCCTCACCATTACCATATAGTTGCCTTGAAACCATGTGGCAAGAGAGCAACCGGTCTCGTGAAAGCCTCTTATAGGAAATGGGGATATCGAGAGGGGAGATGCTGAGTACCTATGAAAGATTACTACTACCACATCAGCTCTAGATTGTTAAATATGATTTTCTGTGGGTGAGCAGATGGCCACTACTGGATGGCATATGTTCTGTATCAGAAACTAGAGCTGATGTGGTTTATCCAATGCAATTTTCTGAATCAGCACCCCAAATAACCAAACTGAATCTAAGGGTGACCAAAAACTGATTCATAAACTTTTTGGTACTAATGTTGGAGAGTGCTACCTGGTCAAAGTGGTACCTGGTGAAAAAAAGTTTGGGAACCACTGCTCCAGATCATATGAGCAAATCCAGCAGGACATATTTATGTTTAACATTTTCACTGTACATACAGCACAATAGGAGTGGCCGAACAGAACTGGCTGTATAGTTAACTTTTAAGTTAAATGGTGCACCCTAATGCAAATCTCAAAGGATGCAAATTCTTGAAATTGCCTCTCACATTGGTTTCACACATATAGTAAATATAGGATCCAGGGACAACAATGGTGATTTAACAGCTATTTTGCTGCTCATTGCTGTGGTATTATGAAACATTTATTACAGGAAAAACACTTTGTTATATATACTTAGCTACTATGGGCACAATGATCTTATGTTAAGTTAGGTCAAGACAGAATTGTATACATTGGCAACACCTCAAATAATCTCCTGCCAACTTGAGTTCTCTGTTGCCAAAAGAATATGATTTTTTGCTCATTATCCTAATTCTTGGAAAAGTGAACAGAAAGGAAATGTATGAAATGGAATATGACAATTAGCTACACTAATGACAGCAGTATTCCTCATAATCCTCCGCCCCTGCAAAGAAGAAAGAATTCAAGGACTTTTGATCTAGTGGCTAAGGGGTGAACTCTGTAGACTATAAACAACAACAATAAGAATGCACCTTTATTTTCTATTTTGCTTGATATAACACCAGAGTATTTTACCTTCAGCAGTTTCATGAGGCCTTCCAATTGGACCATAAGTTCTCTCCGGCTTTCCTGAAGAGCAGACATCCTCTGTTCTAGCTCATCCTTCCTTTGCCTAAGAAATGAGCATTTTAGATCAGAGCAGATGGACATTCAGGGAAAAGCCAGTATTTGCACTGAGTACACCTGCTAATGTAGACATGGGTAGTGCAAAAGTGTCTACACAAAAACATTTTTCATCTAGAAATAATTTCCCAGTTCAAACTCTATGGAATGACTCTGTATAAGGATCTACTTATGTTCCAAAAATGATACAATTAGGTTGCAGGGCAATTACAAATACAGTTGTACAGAACTAGTGCATTGGGGAAAGGTGAGATTCTCAATCAATCAAATAAAAAGAATAATCTTCCATAACTAATCCAACATGAGAGGGCCTTACCAGTGGATGCTCTTGGGATGTGGCATTCCCTCCCATAGAAAGTGAGGCTGCCCCCCCCCCTCCACTCCTGCTCTCTTTCAACAGGGTTTTAATTCTTATTTTAACAAAAACCATTCACTTGATCTTTTTACTGAAACCGTAAATGTGTGTACACAAGGTTTTTTTTAATGGCATGTGCATTGCATTTTCAGATTTACTATTATCTCTATCAAGTAAATTTCTACTATTGTATGTGATGAGCATTTAAATATATTTCGCTTTTTAAAAAGGCTTTGATTTTCAAATTGTGTCTAGATTTTAACTTTGAGGTAAACTGCCTTGGGTCCCTTGTTGAAAAAAAAAGTAAATATGAATTATATAAACAAACAAATGAGAGTTGAACTTAAGCATAAAAACTGAACATACATTTTCATTTTAAAGTTTAAACAGGTTGATCATTCTTTATTGTGTTGGAAATGACAACCTTCTTCAAGCCTCCTCTAATAATATTTATCTGTTGCTTACTGTTTCTGGTATGCAGCTTCCTTTACAGTTCCTGAGAAGTTATAAAAAAGGATGCAGACCACATGCTCTTTCCTCACTCTCCTTTTTTGACTATGTGACCCATTGATAGCTGTTTTGTTATAAGAGAGATGTTCTGACTGGATGGCACAGAGAATTATCTCAAACATATCTGAAACTGTTTTGTACCTGTGTATGCTGAACACATGAAGGTTGTGAGTAAATCAAATACGTTGTTTTTTTAAATCAAAGTCTTTTTTATCAAAGTCACTGAAAAACACTTCTAAAGCTCTGGTGTTTTTATGCACTGGCAAATCTTTGTTTTCCTAACAGATCAGAGATACCAGGTTATTCAGTCTAACAACCAAAATCATTGCCTTGCATAATTATATCTAGTTATATACCACAAGAGAAGCTTCTACTCTAAAGGAGTTTTGGCTCTTCCCTAAATGGCATTTCCCAAAAGGTTATGAATGCCATTTTCAATTACATTTTGAATGTATTCAAAAGGGACCAGAAGTGCTTTGGATTTTGAAATACCTGTATTTGCATTTACATATATAATGCGATATCTTGGAGATAGGATCCAAGTTCAGATATGAAATCCAATGAAGATTCACAGATACCTGACACATATAGTCTGAAGGTCACTTTTATATACAATATTTATGATAATTTTGTGCATGAATCAAGGTTTGTGTACCTCTAACCATCGCAACTACCCATGTGGACAATTTCTGCATTTGAAGCATTTTTGATTTTGGAATTCTGGAAAAAGAATGCTCAATATATATATATATATATATATATATATATATATATATATATATATATATGGAGTTAAATTTTATATAAAAATTTGGCTTGATTTCATAAAGAAATTTAAATTCATTAGATATGTAAGCTAAAGATGACATACAGATGTAACTTACCGAAGCAGCCGAAGTTCTGCCAAAAGGGTGGGATTCTGCGCTGCCTTCTCTGGTGTGGGCTGAGATGCCTGTTCATGTTCAAGTCGCAGCCTCTGAATCTCTTGTAAGATTTCTCTTATGAAGGAGAATAAAAAGAAGTTGTCAAAGGTCTGTATATTTTTCAGGGAAAGAACCTTGCACACATTACAGGCCGAGCATTTCTTGCATTTCTCAATCAAGGAGTTAAAAAGCAAGCTCCTAGAATCTCAGAGTCTTCTAAACAAATCTTGCCAACCCCTTCTCCTCATGGTAGGGCTGCCATAGGTCAGAAATGACTTGAAGGCATAAAATGGCAACAGCAACAACAACATAGATCACAACAGATTAAGTTGGAGATCCTTACCTGTTCTTATTTTCAAGTTCTGCAATAAGCTGTCGTTGTTGCTTATTTGCATCAATAGAAAATGAGATATCTGGAGCACCTCTCTGTTGGGTTTGCTGTTGTGCCTGCTGGAAGACAGGTTGATCATATCATTAAAAATGGCAAGCAACTGCTTACTGTTTTCGCAAGGGTGCTATCTTTTGTCCTGAGTGAAATAATCACATCTATCATATGAAAAATACCATGTAACAACCCAAGTGTAAAGTGGTTACCTATTAAGGACAGTCAGAGCACTCTTTCAGTTCAAATCTCTCCTTGACTGAGAGATGACCTGGTTTAGATACCACATATTAAGCTCCTGTGAGTATTGTGGCCTATTTGTGAAAAGCCATGTGCTGGTGCATGCTTCCCAATCATCCTACTGTAATTGGAAAAAACTGAACAAACCACAGTCTGTTTGTTTACTGTATGGACCCAGCAGGACCCAGCACTCTGGCTTGCGTCTTCTTCCTACAATCTGTAGAAAACACACTTACAAGAAATCTTGGTTGGAGTTGTTTCTCTGATGGGAACAATAGGCCAATATGTATTCAGCACACTGGTCCACTCACAAGCCAGAACTGATGGCTGAATGTCTGCATATGTTATATAAGTCTCTCTCTTTGATTCTCACCTTCTGCGCAAAGGACAACCTTAACCTATTTTATAGCATTTTTAATGGATTGGTGAGACAATATACAAGAAACATTGTGAACATTCAAAATGTATTATATAAATACCAGTACCTGTAACACTAAATCATCTCTTACATTTCTATCAGAGACAAGATTTCCCTTGGCCTTCTAGAAGTCAACATCAGGGCTTACTCTTTGTACCTTAGGCACTGTTGCAGAAAGAATGACAATCTTGTTTTGGACTTTTGAAAGAACAGGGAATTGGCTGGCGAAACAATTGTGACAACAGGGCAATGGTTCTTGAAATATGAGACAGAGGTCCCAAGGAAGCAGAGACAGTTTCCATGGGAACGCAAACTTCTCCTCAATCCTTTTCACTGTGCACAACTAATGGAAGCAATTTTAGTTCCAGCAGATGCACTCCTTGAAAAAGAGCAAAGAAGCAGAACTTCACACTCAGGATGAAACACTATCAGGATGCACACATTTATTTCATAGAAGAAATCATGTCTAGAAGCCTTTTGGTTTATATTTAAAAGTTTGTCACATGTAAAATATACAATAAAAATCAACAATGAAGAAGCTGATCTATGTAAAATATCATATGGCCCCAGGACTCTAACACAAATATAGTACCAATAGCTTTACCTGCCACACGTTGCTGTGGCCAACCTTCTCTCCCGCTTTCTCTCCTTTTTTTGCTCTTTCCTTCCTTTTTTTCTTCTCTCCTTCCTTCTTTCTCTTCCTCTTCCCTTCCTCCCCCCTTTTCTTTCCCTTCCCTTCACTCCCCTTTATTCCTTCTCTACCTATTCTTGGACTGCAACTCCCAGCAGTCCTCTTGATCGATCGATCTATCTATCTATCTACCTACCTATCTCTATCTAATCTATCTATGTGGAGGATTGCTGGGAGTTGTAGTCCAGGAATAGGAAATTGGAAATATGCAGGGACTGGGACACTCTCAAAGAAATCCAAGGAGAAGAAAGCTTGCAACTTGGAAGCAGTGCATTTGGATCATCCTCCTCTCCTAAAGGGCCTGATCTAGGAGATGCTGGGAGCTGTAGTCTGGAAGAGAGTGTGGATATGCTAATGTGTGTTTTATTTGCCAGGGGGAGTCATTTTTGCGCATGCACTGTAGTGTCTTTTTGCTCTTTTTGGCTTTTGAAGTCCCTTCTGCTGTGTTTTTCAGGGTTTTATGAGTAATGGACACTCATTGGCCTGATAGGTGTATTGTGTCCAAATTTGGCGTCAATTTGTCCAGTGGTTTTTGAGTTATGTTAATCACACAAACTAACATCACATTTTAAATTTATATATATGATACTATATATACAAGATACACAAATATAGTACCATGACTGGAGTGCCCAGTAGCACAATGGGTTAAACCCTTGTGCCAGCAGGACTGAAAACTGACAGGTCGGAGGTTCAAATCTGGGGAGAGCATGGATGAGCTCCCTTTGTCATGGAGCTGACGTGTGGGGATATGAGAAAGGCCTCCTACAAGGATGGCAAACATCAACACATCTGGGCATCTCCTGGGCAACGTCCTTGCAGACAGCCAATTCTCTCACATCAGAAGCTATTTGCAGTTTCTCAATTCACTCCTGACACGACAAAAGTACCATGATTCTACTGTAACTGCCACTATTCCATCTAATAGAATTCTGGAATTTTTAGTTTAGGGTGACATGTTTATAATTCCCAGCCAGAGAGTTCTAGCATCACCAAATTATAGATCCCATGATTCCATTGGATATAATCAAGATGGAAGTTAGAGTCAGGGCTGTAGCCAAGTGGGGAGGGGAGGTTAGGGGTTCAACCCCTCCCCCCAAATTTTCAGGTTAAAAAAAGTAGTTTACTCATGAATTTTAACTGGTTAACCAAATCTCCCTGCTAAGTTTATGAGAAGCAAAAATTAAAAAAGTCCCTCCAGAACTGCAAGCACTATCTCAAACAAATGTTGACAATATATTAACAGTCATTACTTGCACCAATAGCTGATATAGTGGAAAAAAACCAAATTGGCCCACCCACAACTGGTAGGCAAAACCTAAGGCATGGGAGGGATTTAAAGCCCCCCATGAAGGAGATGAGAAAACTGATTCAATTAAGTCTATATAAAATATAGAATGAATCATACTATTTAAATTATTTTGGGTTATGGAACTACTCATGATTCGCCAAAAAAATAAAATAAAATTTCAATCTCCATCCAATATTTTTTTCTGGCTATGGTCCTGGTTAGAGTGAACTTAAAGCATGTGTGGAGAGTAAAGGTGCTTTCCTGCCATATGTAATAGCAGCATAAGTTGGTCCTCATGCTATGTTTTCCAACTGAAACTTCAAGAGCACATTTATAGCAGTGCAACAGAGGTAGAGACACTTTTATGCTTTGTCTCCATGTTGCCAAAATCTAAGCCCCACGTACCTTTACAATGTGACAATGTGAGAAAATGCTAAAGCTCCACTGGCTGACCAGCAGCTGCCTTAAGTAGCCCTTATGTGAAAGATGAGAGGATCATGGAAGGATCATAATGCTGTCTCAGATAGGAATGGGAAGGTCATTTTTGAGCAGGACTTTATACAGGCCTTCTCAGGATGTGATCTCAAAAGTCACACTCTCCTTTCATCTCACAAAACTGGAATGAATCTCTTATCTGAAATAGCAAAATGGCTTTCCTTTCCCCTGAAACAGCACCATTGTTCTACTCCAGTACTGTGCTGTGAGGAGAATACTATCTTCCCCACTAAGAGCATTCTTCCATATCAACATGATCAGGGGAACCCTTTATTTCAGTTCCAACCACAGAACACAGGATTCCCAGGCCAGCATTATAATGGCCTCTATGTTGAACTGTATCCCAAATGGAAAATCACCCACCATCCCAGATTTTATGGATCCCCATAAAAAATTGGAATACATTATGGGACATTATGCAGTCAGTCTTTTAGTATGACTACCAAATCCTATGAAGGTTTTTTTTTCTTGAGAAACTTGAGAAATTGCAAGTCACTTCTCGTGTGAGAGAATTGGCTGTCTGCAAGGATGTTGTTTTACCATTCTCTGGGAGGTTTCTCTCATGTCCCCGCAAGAGAAGCTGGAGCCGACAGATGGTAGCTCATCCTGATCCCTGGATTTGAACTGCCGACCTTTTGGTCAGCCATCCGGCCAGCCACAAGGGTTTAACCCATTGCACCACCGTGGGCTCCCCATGAAGGCAATAGATGGCCAAACACATTATTTTGTCTGGCCAATGTCACTCTATACAGCCATGTCTGCCTCATTAATTTGTCTGTTTGAGAGTATCTACTGATCTCCCACACACCCAGAAGACCTCCCTCCCTCAATATTATGACAGAAAAATGCCTTGGATATGACATCATCAGTAGTCAAGGTGAAATCAAGAAAAAAATGGGTTGGTTGGTCCCACCTCATCACTTTGTTGAAGCAGCTTGTGCTCATGTGACAAAGCTAAGGGTAATATGCAATTTCTCCACATTTATCAAGCATAATGACAGCTAACCAACCAGTAGTCTTCTGCTACTCCCTTCCCAATATGAATCCACCACTGTCATGGAGTCTGAGGTAAGTAACTGGGGAAGGAGGGGGCTATTACCTGCTAACTTCCCATAGACACAGTGAATAGTCCCTGACTTTGTTGAATGGGGCAAACTAGAGATTCAAGCTGACAAAGAATTGTCAGTACACCTTGTACAGTATTCTCAGTTTCTTAGTAAGTTGAAATGTCTTTCATGGATGTAAGTTGTCTAATATTCAAAATGCTTAAAAACAAGTCACAATAGCCTATAAAGATTGCTTGACACCACCTTCTGGTTCTAGCTGGATTATTATTATTATTATTATTATTATTATTAGTAGTAGTAGTATTAGTAGTAGTATTTATACCCCGCTTTATCTATTCAAAGGGGACTTAAAGCATCTTGACATAAAACCATTAGTATACAATTTAAAATATAAAAAAAATATTTAAAAGAATTTAATACAAATAGTGCTAAAACATTCACAGTTAAAATCCACCAGAAAACATATTAGAAGTCAAAAACCACAGCGCTCCCTGCCTGGATATTAAATGCTTTCATCTTTAAAGCACATTGCTTTTTCACTTCTAAGGAAGTCATCACAGAATAGGTTCTTACTTGAGCTCTCACCTGTGCTCATATTCATGCCATGTCAACTATGTAGTAGTCATTTCTCTATGCACTTTATACTTGCTAATTTCTAGATAAACCAGAGAACTGAGCAAAACCTACCAAGTGGGTGACATCTGTACCAAAAACAGCAATTATGGCATTGACTTGGACACCAGGAATACCCATCAGAAATAGATAAGACTCAAAGAATTTAGATATACCATTAACAAGAATAAGCTTGAGCCAGAAGAGAATTCCAAACTCCATCCTGTCAAGTCTCCATCTATTTTGTTTCTTACATTGTTAATGTTTTCCTGATAAAATGTTGCTACAAAAGCATCTATTCACCACACTAGCTAATATTAAGTCAATCTGAGGTAATTTGTCAAGAGTGGAAATGAATCATGATCTAAGAACCAAGTCTAGTCAGAAGATGAAACTGGAAGAAGGACTGAAGAACAACCTGAACTGAAATGTGAGAATCAAAAGATATGGCATGTTAGAAACCCAAGTAGACTTTTTTGTCTATATTAAAGCTTGCATACTTTTCTACTTAGAACAGTGGTTCTCAACGTGTGGGTCCCCAGATGGTTTGGCCTTCAAATCCCATAAATCCTAACATCTGGTAAACTGGCTGAGATTTCTGGGAGTTCTAGGCCAAAAACACCTGAGGACCCACAGGTTGAGAACCACTGACTTGGAAGAATTGAATCGTTTGCCTGGATAAGTCTACATATAGAAATGTGGGGTAGATACGTGGCTACTGACATTTTGCTGAGGGCCCTTCCAGACATTACTAAATTCTGGGAGGAACTGGGATATTGTATCCCACTTCCTCCCGGGATTCAATCCTCACGCTCACCTCAAACCCTGGGCTTTCCCTGGGTCAGCCAGAGGTCCCCCTCCCAACCTCCTGATGCTTCATTTTGATGTGCCAGGAGCTCTCAACAAAGGGGTCTGAGTATGCAGCTAAACCCCTCAGGTAAGTTTAGGGGCTAAATGGGTGGCTGAGAAGGTAGGGTGGGGGTACCATCCTGCTCTTTTGGGCTCCAGGAGCCCAAAAAACTGGGAACGCTGTGAGGATTGACTCCCGGGTTTGTGGAAATGGTCCCAGGAGTCAATCCCCACAGGGCCCACACCTGGAAAGATCTAGACCTTACATTAAAATTCAGATTTTTCTAGGGATTTAATTAATCCAGAAACTGGAAATCTTAGTTTACTCAGGATTAATTCAGGTTCCTGAGGTGTCATTTGGAAGCCTCATGTAAACTCAAGACACGTCGCAGGTTATCAGCTTGTCTGGAAGGGTCCTGTGAGTTTGTAGTTATACCTTGCACCACATGGGGCAGTGGTTCATTGTTCCTGACATAAAGCATCTTTCTACAGCCATACTTTCTCTATTCCCTAAAAATACATGTGATAGAACCCATAGATAGGTTTTACATCATGAGAGATATGATAATTTTATTTTTCAACAATACTGCACATAGTAAAGGGGGTGGAAATAGCTTTCTTCATTCATTGTAAGTTTGTTGATATTAGATATGAATGAACTCTCTCAGGCCCCTTCCACACAGCTGAATAAAATTCCATGTTTTCTGCTTTGAACTGGGCTATATGGCAGTGTGGCCTCAGTTAACCCAGTTCAAAGCAGATATTGTGGGATTTTCTTTCTTGATATGATGGATTATATGGCTGTGTGGAAGGGCCCTGTATATCCTCACGGATTATAGAAATATCAGTTTCTTAAAATTATTTTTCTGAGTGAAGCCAAGGCCTAGAGAAACACTTCTTCTCAGTGTACAACATCTTTCCTCTTTGCCCCTGCCAAAGCAGTCAATCTAGTCTCAGAGCATCAGGACTTGTTTTTCAACAACTGGAAATCACATATGTTGGCAGAGCAGCTTGTACAATCAATTTTCAGTTTCCAAAGCCTCCACATTCCTTGAATGATTTGGGAATGGATTTGCTAGGAGAGAGATCTTTCCTTATAATTCAAAGCATTTTTCAGTCAGAGAAATGGGCAATCCTTCTCTTTCCATACTTCAAGGAACGGAGTGCCTCTACTTTGAGATGGTGTTTTATAAGTCTCAGGATTTCATCTTGGACAGGAGCTCGGCTGGATTTCCCAGGGATTCTTGTTATGCATGGAGAGTTGGCACTGTCACATAACACTAGTATCTTGGCAAAGAGAGTTGGGACAAATAATCCCAGCAGCTGCCTGAGAAGAACTGCAGGAAGCCAGTTTTCATCTCGGTCAATTTCTGTAAGCATTTTTGAGTTGTTCCCCCACAATTGCACCAGGAATATTGGCATTACTTTTGCGTGTATAAGCTATTATTCATTGTTTTCTTACCCACCTACCCCCACCAAATATACCTGAAAGCCTCCAGCTGCTACTTTCAGTGACAGATTTTGTAATTTGCCACTTTTATGAACACTCCTTCTTACTTTATTTTCTGACTTTAAAATTTCTGCTTTTTTTGCACTTAGTTGTCATTTTTATTTTATTGCCACTTTTAAGAATTGTTATTTGCTGTCAAGTTGGCTTTGACACATGGCAATCCTATGAATAAAGGACCTCTAATGGCATGTTGTTCAGTTCTGCTCAGGTTTTGCAAACTCGGGGACATGGCTTCCTTGATTTAGCCTATCCACCTGTAATAAAGTCTTCATCTTTTCCTACTGCTGTCCATTTACCAAGTATCAGTTGTGAGTCAATTCAGAGTTTATCAGAAAACTTGAATGAGGACTACATGAGAAATAATAAATTCAAATAAGTAGAAACTCTGACCAATGAGAAAGATTAATTACAAACTCAAGTATGATAGATTACATGATATATAAAAAGAAAAATATACAATCCAACAAAAGTTTGGTCTGAAATTCACTAATGCATTTATGAATGCACAACCTAGCGTTACGCATTCATGACTGGTTCGTTTCCATGATTATTATGCACTTCTTAGGATAGGAAATAGAAAGGGACCATAAAAGTTTTCTAATCCCATTACTGAGCAAGAGCTCCTGCAATTGATATGGGGTTGATTCCATTGTTAGGGAAAAACAGTATGGCATTCCCACCCATTCTTTTCCATGAGAGCTCTCTGATGTGGGGTGGGGTGCGGGGGTCTTTCTTCTTTGTGTCACAACAGAAATAGCTCATAGGAAGTGATGAGGTCATCAGTCAGCTGTCCTGAAAGTCAGGATGGGGTAGTCAGGTCAAGATATACAACATAGCTAAGTAACTATGGTAGTTATATAGCTGTTAGGCTGATGGAGAATTCCAGTTTTGGGTTTAGTTGAAGACTTGAGCTTATGCTTAATCACCCAGTGTAATCAAAGAAGCACTACTTCCCTGCTGCTAAGATGACCTCCAAAACTAAAAGAAAAAATGCTATCGGCAATGCAGACAGTACCCACTATTATTGACCATCTTGGTTGCAATGCCAAACAAACAAACAAACAAACAAACAAAAAAACAAACATCAAAACCCCAATGCAGTTACTTAAGGATTGTGGTCAGTCTATCTTTAAGCATTGAGTTAAAAGTTCATAAGACCTTAAGATAGCATAGTTCAAGTCTACCTTTAGGACACTAAAGATATTGGATCCTGTTTGATCCTGGAAGCTAAGCAAAGTCAGCTGTTGGATTGGAGACCACCAATTAATATCAGGTATTTAGGCTATATTTCAGAGGTTGGAACTGGGAAAACCACCTATGAGCATTCCTTGCTTATGAACACCCTATGAAATTCATGGGGTAGCCCTAAGTCAACAGGTGACTGGATGGTACATGCACATATTCCTTTAGTATAATATATGGCAGACTGCAATTAACACAATTAGTTTTCTTGAAAATGGAACATCTTTTCATTTTAGCTAGTTAAAAAAAGGCAAAGAAAAGCAAGGCACAAACATCCCCCCTTAATTTAAACCACTTACTGATGAAGTAGTCTCTGCTGCGAGTCTCGCCGCATACCTGGCGATCAGTCTGTGCTCTTCATCTAGACGGTTTGGACTGTCAAGCAAACTGTTGTGGGAGGGGCAAGGAAAAATGAAAGAACCATTAATATATAGGTTAAGAAGACCATGTTCCTTAACCTATATAGAAAACGATGAGGAGGTGGGGTAAGAGCATGAAAAAGATTGTTACAATTATGAATGGGGTGGAGAAAATGGACAGAGAGAAATTGTCCTCTCTTGTAAATTCTTGAATTCAGGATCATCCAATGAAACTGCTTGGTGAGAAATAATACAGAATAAAGTCCTTTTAGATTAGTTCTTTTAGATTGGTCCAATGAAGTGTGAATTCTTGGGAAATAGGTTCTGGATTTAGATGGTTGTTATCACCTCTATATTCATTTGAATGCTGTCTAGCGGCTATTTCTGAGTTCTGGCTTCTGCAAAAAAGGCACATGACTGTTTAAAAACTGGGACAGTCTCCTGGGGGTGATTCTATGACTTGAAGAGGAAAAACTTCTCCTCTCTAAAATGTTTTAATTATTTTTTAAATTTTGCACGGAACTACTGTTTCACTGATACACTGGTAATAAAAGGAGCAAAAAAGCAGGGAACATATTGTACTGAGGTGAATTGGAATTAAAAAAAAAACACAAGAGGGTGAAGTGTTGCAGCTGGTGCCTGGAAGTGCCAGCAAATAGCTTGGCATAACAGAAAAATCATTTGGACACGTTAAAGAAACTCTAGAGAATTACAGAAACATCTATCACAATCTCTGAACTTACCACTGATTGAGACAACTTCAAAGGGGTTTGAACAATTTTGTGGATTTTAAGTTTACCCAATGGCTGTAAAGCAGTTTGCAAAAGTTACTAGTTGAGAGAATTTAGCAGTTGTACTCTAATACAGTTACCTTTCAAAACTCTGCTATAAACAATGACAGCTAAATGGCACCTCTGATTTTGGAGACAGGAATGTGCCTCTAGATCCTATGTTGTTGTTTTGTGTTTTTTTTGGAGTTTACTGAAAAAAGTTAATTTTTCTTTAGATAGTTTAATTTGAAGATGTCATCATCTCTGTTTTCTGTAAATCCAAAAGTTTCTCGATATTTTTTTCTGTATTTAATGTGGGGTTATTTGAGGTTGTTGTTCCACTATTTATTCTAACAGGTTATTATAACAAAGAGCACAGATTGATAAAATGAAAACAAGCTCCTGATTCAAAACATGAGTGGAAACCTCATTAGTTTCAAGATACCTTACACTGCTTTCATAAGTCTATTCACAAGTAAGTCTCACAGATATCAGTATGGGTTACTATCAGATAAGTGCCTATAATGAAATTTCTGTTTGATGCATGTCTACTAAGAAGGATTACTAGCTACTCTTAGGCAAATATTTACAGGATGAAGCCTAAATTACTCCTAGGCAAACCAAGGAATAATAAACTAAAATGGATTAATTGACAGTACAACTATTTATTTCTTTGTGTGTATTGAATACCACAGTAAATGATTTTTTAACCAATTACTCAATTGGTAACATCAACCTATGCATGTCTATTCACAAGTAAGTCTCACTGATATTCAGTGTGGGCTACTACCAGATAAGTACATATGATAGTATAGCAACCATGGATTACAATTTTATGCACACATATTTGTGAATAATCATCAAGAAATACAGTGGGACCTTTTCAGAGTATAGGATTACTTAATGAAACGATTACTTTGACAAATAAGAATAAATATGAACCAACCTCTAACAGGCCAATTTCTATGCATGTATATTCAGAGATAACTTTTTAAAATATGAAAATTTTTTGTTCAGCACACATAGATGCTGCATGTCATGAACACTTATATATATATTTTAAATGTATCACTGCCTAAAGCCATTTCAATGTGTTTTGAATGCTTCAGCATATCTGAAATTTCTTTCTGAACTTTAAATGGTGCAAAAATGAGGTCATTTTTTTCCTCCTGCATCACAAGACGTGCATTTTCCTATATAGGAGGTAAAACAAGATTGGAAATTCTGTGTGGCAGGGAAAACATATTTTGACTGTTTTGATACTGGCCATCATTTGCTTTGTTTCAGCCAGACTATCCACCTATCTACCTGAACAAAAATACCTGACAGTTAAGGAAAAGTACAAAAAAAAATCATTCAGGATAAAACTGTCAATCTAAACTAATTTGTTTTATGTTATGTACTGGTAAAATATATTTATAGTGACCAGAGTGAGATGGGTCCCTTATACTTCAGAAGAATACAAAGGTGCTGGATAGTACTTTCTGTACACAGATACATAGTCATCCATTATGTCAGGGATGTTAATGTCACTTGCAGTCATTCTCCAGTTTGCCTGTGTATTTCTTATTTCTGATAGCTGAGTAGATATAAGAGGATGGGAGCTGGGGGTGGTGATGGCCGACAGGGAGCTCTGGTGTGGGTTGGTCCATGAGGTCACGAAGAGTCGGAGACAACTAAACGAATGAACAACAAAAACTAAAGCTTTATGGCCCCCTTGGGGGTGCAGCAGGTTAAAGCGCTGAGCTGCTGAACTTGCTGACTGAAAGGTTGATGGTTCGAATACAGGGAGTGGGGTGAGGTCCTGCTGTTAGCCCCAGCTTCTGCCATCCTAGCAGTTCGAAAACATGCAAATTGATAGCTACCACTTCTGTAGGAAGGTAATGGCACACCATGCAGTCCTGCTGGCCACATGATGTTGGAGAATGCCAGCTCTTCAGTTTAGAAATGGAGATGAGCACCACCCTCCAGAGTCAGACATGACTAGACTTAATGTCAGGGGAAACCTTTACTTTTTATAAAGCTTTATAAACAGCCTGTAAGCTGTTATAAGTAGGGAAGTTACTCCTTGAACTATGTTTTGCAGAGCATAAGACTAATGCAATATTTGTGATTATGTATCTATATCAAGAAACAATATTTCCAAGTTTAGTATTTTACTTTCGCTACTATTTCAATATATGCAGCTATTCACTTATATGGGAGAAACTTAAGAATAGTCTTAGATTCTATTGGAGTAAATGCTACATCAGGATTACTCCCTATTTCACACTGATGTCTGATGCTGTAAGGAGGACTCTCCGCTACACGGCTTCTCAATTTCACTAACGGCTAACTGGGGGATAAAGGGTGGCTTGGAAATGTTATCTTTCCAGAACACCCAGCATATAAGCCTTCATCCTCAGGGAGGGACAGGTATGTAATAGGCAATAGAGCTGTAAAGAGGGAAATCTGTTTCCTACTGCAAAACCTGCAGCCAAAAACAGTCAAGGAATGGTTCTAAGCCTGGTTTTTGCTACCTGTGGATGCCTCTTGCAAGGTGAATATGTCACAAAAATTCAAGGACATCTTGCATAATCCTTCCAGTTAAAAAGCTACAACTTTGAATGGAAAATCAGAACAACACTGTACGTCATCTCAGTCTAGTAACACCAAAGGTCACACCACTACTTGCTTGCTACCATATCAGCTGAGCTTGTGAATGAACTGGTGTGGCTGGAAACTGTACAGACACTTTTTTCTATTAAAAGTGCACTATAACACAGAGGAAAAGATAGAGATAGCAAGCTACTTTTCTGCTGATCACATCATTAATTTATCCTAAGTCAACTCAGATGGTTCATGCAAATTACTCATATCACAATCAACCAGGAAAGGAAACATTCACCCATATGCCAATAAAAACAAGCCATACTGATTTTTTTTAAAAATTACTCCCCATCCCCAGGGGCCAAAAATAAGCACAAGTAAATAAAAGCACATTTCTTAACTGAAATTTGCAGGAGAAAATATATGAAATATACTAGGACACCATGCTTCAATCTGGGTCATTCAGTTGTCTTGATTATTTTAATTCATTTGAGCCCCCAGTGTAGCATCATCACAGTGTTGCTCTCCATGGAAATTATTCTAGTTTGTTATTTTATTTCTGAACTGTCCATTGTAGCTGTGTCTTTTAATAGCAGCTTGATACACTAAGCCTAGCAAGTGATATTATCTGCATTCCATGAAAAGCTTCAGCTGTTGATTTCTGCACATCATCAAAAAGCAAAAAGGCAACCCAGGACAGATTTTAATTTCCTCTTCAGCTGCAAATTCTAGTTCACCAATTTTTTTGTTTTCAGACCATTCAGATGAGGCTATCAAGTACACAATGTTCAAAATCTTATAGCACCATTCTGTTAATTTCTAAAAATGCAATGCTACTATATTGTTTGGCCAACATTTGATTGCATTTCTCTAAGATAACGGTTGGCAAAGTGTGATCCTCTAGATCAGTGGTTCTCAACCTGTGGGTCCCTTGGTGTTTGGGCCTATGACTCCCAGAAATCCCAGCCAGTTTACCAGCTGTTAGGATTTCTGGAAGTCGAAGGCCAAAACATCTAGGCACCCACCAGTTGAGAACCACTGATCTAGATATTACTGGGATGAAACTCCCAACATTCTTTAACTCTCGCAATACTTGATAAATATCAATTGCTGTACAACATCTAGTTAGCTGTGTTTTGCTCATCCTTTAGGGTTCCAAGGAGTTTTATATTTTTACAGAAGATACCAATATTGGATGGTACTAATGACTTCAAGCATTACTGTATATGTACTACCATAGTAGTGGTCTGTTTCCAATTCAAAGTGATGGTTTCAATCTATAAAACCCTGTATGGTCCAGGTTATTTGAAAGCCTATATCTCCTGTTATGAGACCATTGAAGCTCTAACATCATCTAGAGACCCACCTCTCTGTCCCACCATTTTCTTATGGTTATTTGGTAGCTGTTGCCAAATTTTGGAACTCCTTCTCATCCTTGGTCAGGAAATCAAACTGACTAGTTTTGTGCGTTTAATGCTGTTTTAAAGGTGTTTACATATCTTGATGCCTTTTAATATTTTTAATGTTTCATTATTTTTAGATATTATATTTATACTGCAATGTTTTTGTATTTTTAAGTTGCATGATTTAAAATATATTGTTAGTGGTCTTGAGTCCCATTATCAACAAAATAATAATGCCTACTTTGGATGAAACTGACAGTGCCATTCAGCCTGCTTGAAAGCATCCAAGGAAGGATTTTCCAAAATGCCCCCAGGTTGCATGCTGCTATCATGTGCTGATGTGATAATGAAAACTAACTCTAAATTGCTGCTTTGATTTTCCTATTTTGCAAATTTATACTTGTCTTAATATCGATCAACCCAATGATCACTGGATTTGCTTTCCAGCTCTGAACATAATGTCATAGCACAGTATTATCTCTATTTGGATTTAAATGTACAAGAGCTCTTTGGCCAGAATGCAGCTGATAATTAATTGCATAATCACTGAAAACATCTAAGGACTCAGAATCTAAGGACTTGGAATCTAGGGTCATTTTTGGAAGTGATGTAACTCCGTAAAAGCTGCAAAATGCATAGGGAAAAACAATTATTATATTTTGACTGAGCTCTCCATATTCAAAACTTTGCCATTCGTTGTTCACCTGCTTAAGGCATTATGCAATAAAAAAGCTAACTGCGAGCTAATATTATTTGCTGAAGTCCAAAAGGTAGCCTGGGAAAATGTCTGACACTCATTTTAATCAAGGATGTTAAGAGGGTAATCTTGAAATGTCGGTAATTAGAGGTTCGAATCTGCTCATTGCTTCAATTATTTGAACTATAATGCAGGGTTTTGTTCATTTTCTCATCCTTCAGAAGCATTAAATTAAAGATTTGTTAAGGCACACAATTTTTTTCTTTCTGCCAGACATGTGGGTTTAGTGGAAACTACCAAGAGAAATGGAAATGTCTTGAGATGTGAAGGTTTAAGAAAAATAAAAATACTCAGGAAGAACACTCCCCCCACATTTTTCCTAGTGTATGAAAAATGTGGGGAAACAATTATACAACTTTTTTTTACAACTATGTCTAAATTATAAGGCACTATCAAGGTGCTCATATATTCCTCTAAAATAATTTCTAAAAACTTTTATATAAAATAATATACAATATCAGATCGCTGCAAATCCATTTATCCTGGCTATCTTTTTAAAACATCTATTTTCTGGGTACTAGAAATCTAACCCAAGACTGTGGAATAACAACCTGCTGAAAGAGATCCAACAACTAATTAGCTATTGGAATTAAAATACATTTGAAAACCTATCTCTTTTGGCAGGCCTATCTAGTCAGTTTAGTTTTAACTATGAATTTTAAATGTGCTTCTTGCATTTACTATATTTTAATCTTTGTTCTTTGTATTTTAGTATATGTATTTCATAGAAATATATTTTAATATGTGTATTTTATATAATGTTTATGATGCCGCGCTATGTTGTGATCCACCTTGAGACAGAAGAAGAGGCGGGTAAGAAATAAAATGATGGTAATGATAATGTCTGATTGACACTGTGGAGAACTACAGTAAACAAAATAGTTTTGTTTTATTATTGTTAATGTTTTCCCCTCTTCCTTTAATTTGTTATTAATTTATGTCTGCTCCTTATAAATTTGACAAAACCAAAAGGTTCCTTAAAAGTTCAGTTGTTCCTTATAGTTTAGCACTTACATGCAATATATGTTATAATTTACTTTCTGAATATACTGCACATTTAATAAACCAAACATACTAATTATATACCAAATGTATTAATTGTATACCATACTAATTTATAAATGGAGTCAATCTGTAAAGAGTACTAATATATTTTTGCCAACCTTAAGAAATGGGGCCACAAAGTGGAGTCCACAAAATGCAAGTGTGGAGAAGAGCAAACCACAGACCACCTATTGCAATGTAGCCTGTAGCCCTGCCACATGTACAATGGAGAGCATGCTTATAGCAACACCAGAGGCACTCAAAGTGGCCAGCTACTGGTCAAAGGACATTTAATATAATGCCAAGATTTCAAATTTGTGGGATTGTTTTTTTGTTTGTTTTTTTAAATACATTACAACAGTCCCTTGGTTTGCTCCTGATACAATAAATAAACACATTTATTTCCAATTTTTCTGATTTTTTTCTTCCCTGGAAATAGCACTGAAAATAACAAAAATGAAAAAACCTTCCTCCAATGGTTTCAAAATGTCTTGAAATTTCTAGAGCTAACTAGATTTGATATTACAAAGAACTTGTAGGGGAAAAAAACCACACCTCAAGGAAACACTGATTGCATATAGAATAGGATGTTCCTAGGATGGATAAAAATGGCTGTTGAAGCTAGAAAACAGCCTATTGCCCACCACTGAAAAACCTACAAAATAAAAAGTTACTATGTACAATAAAAACTGAAAGCTTCCTAGACATGTTTGTGAAACACAGGAGTAACTGTCAATAGGACAAGGGAAGTGATAATACTATCCCATTCTCCTTTGGTGAGACATTATCTGGAATACTTTGTCCAATTCTGAACAGCACAATTCAAGAGGATACTGACAAGCTGGAACATGTCTACCAAAGGGTGACCAAAATGGTAAAAGAGGAGTGGCTTAGGGAGCCGGGTATGTTTAGCCTGGAGAAGTTCAAGAGGGGACATGATAGTCATGTTTATATACTTGAAAGGATATGTCATATGAAAGATGGAGCAAGTTTGCTTTCTGCTGCTTCAGGACTAAAACATAGAACAATGGTTTCAAACCACAACATGGCAATCTTCTGGGCATTGTTGATGTCTAATATGTTATTATTTGATTTATGGTTTATTTGATTTTTGGTTGCATTTTACAGCATTGAATGTTTGCTGCTGTATGTTGGAAAGCGCCCCGAGTCCCCATTATTATTATTTATTGTAGGGTAGACCACATCATGCTTTCAACCAACCTTGGGTTGTTTCTGAATACCACCTTAAGTCTGGTGGTGCAGAAGCAGTAGAACAGAGAAATAAAAGACCCCTCTCCTTATCATTAGTTTTTGACATTTTCAAAATAATTTCAATGGCTACCTGTGTATTTTGTTCTATACCTGTCCTTCAAACAGAATATCAGCATCCACTTAGTGAGACCTGGCCTCTTATCTTTGTTTAGTTGTTTTGAACATGTAAGTATCTTTCTTTCAGAAGGTTATTTTGATGATCAACAATATAAGAGTTAGAAAGCAATTGCCACATTAAAAGCACAATTTAAACAATTATTAGTAACAACAATTGCCAACAATACAGTCTAAAAATGACTTCATTATACCGGTACACTGTCTTTGTAATAAATGATGCTTATTTAATAAGTCTTTCAATGGTTTCCTGAACAATCATTCCTGATAAAGAAGAGTGTAGATCAGTGGTTCTCAACCTTTGGGTCCCTAGGTGTTTTGGCCTACAACTCCCAGAAATCCCAGCCAATTTACCAACTGTTAGGATTTCTGGGAGTTGAAGGCCAAAACATCTGGGGACCCACATATTGAGAACCACTGGTGTAGGGCAACATGTAGATCAGTAGTTCTCAACCTGTGGGTCCCCAGATGTTTTGGCCTTCAACTCCCAGAAAACCTAGTAGCTGGTAAACTGGCTGGGATTTCTGGGAGTTGTAGGCCAAAACACCTGGGGACCCACAGATTGAGAAACACTGATGTAGATTATTAGCACTCAGAATGCAAAGAAGTCATTTGTGCCTTTTCACTAAATAGATACACTGTGAAATCATTGGCTTATAATACTAGGATGTGAGAATGTTTACACTGATTTCACAAGAAAGGTAATTTTGGATTTATGATGGAACCTATGCTGATGTGACTTGTTTCCCGGTTGGTCAATGACTTGTATATGTCGGTGAGAATAAAGACAACTTGTGGTTCACTTCTCCCCAAAATTTGACAGTGGATTCTCCTGGTTATGGCCAAGAAGTACTGATCAGTGTGTGTATATATGTTAAGTTCTTTAACAACTGCCTGTTAAAGACACACACAAATCAACATGTACGATAACGATTCAAACCAAGGCAGCGTTGTCAGCAATCTTTAACACTAGTGTTGAAATTATATGGAATGACAAGCCTGGTCAAATTAGTTTCTGCTCCATTCTTTACAAACTGAATTCTTCTGTGACTTGGATTCACCAGGTGAATGAATGTCCTTTCTCTAAAGTCCCCCACCAAAGTGCCCAGCCTGCACTAACCGTGAGGGGTTGTTCTGGAGCATGTTGACATACAACCCAATGAGAACATGTTCATCAGCCAGCCTGTCTGCAACATCGAGGCTATACTGTAACCTGAAATAGGGTTGGGGGAAAAGGGGTATAATCCGGACAGACAAAGAGAAATAAACAGAGAAAGCAGGAGCAAGTAAGAGTGTGAAATGGGAATTTGTAAAACGAACAGTCAAATGTTCTTCAAAAAACAAGTGCTGAAATTGTTATCAATTCCAACCAATCAAAGCAGAAGTCAGAGTTATTAAGAAAAAAGTCTGTAAGACAGGAACATCAGCCTATTGAAGTATGCAAAGTGCCTACAAAGAAGCAGAAATGCTCAAGGACCATGCAGGAACTGGCCTTGGATTAGTGCTACAATGAAGCATAGCGTAAAAGACAACTGCTCTGAGAAGCAGCTAATTTTAACCAAAATCCTAATCAAATGTATTGAGAGGAAAATTCAATTGACCTTGATTGAACTTCTTAGAAACAATCTATATATGCAAGAAATCATATTACACAGTTCCTAAGAATGGAAACAATATGACCTCCATATCCACAGATTTTATATCCATGGTTTCATATATCCATGCTCCAAAAGATATCCCACAATAAGTGTTTATGGGCCTCTCTAGGTCCTCCGGTTTGATTCTATGGTAAAATTCTGACCCAAGCAGAGTCAAAATTTAGGGTTCACTATTATCCAGAGTTTCAGGTATCCACTGGAAGTCTTGGAACATATCTCCCATAGATACAGGGGCCATACTAAATTTCAAACTGTAGGCAGAATGCTTTGTGCCAAAATGCTACTCTTTATAAAATAGGACTTTTGTACATTGTAACCTAAGGATTCATGGACAAATATGAGTTAGAATGTACCTGTTGATATACAATAGGTCTTTCACATTCAGTGTGGTTTAGGGGCATAAAACCCACATAAAAGTGAGGAAAGTGTAAATAAATAATCACTATTTTTAACACTTCTCTAAGAATTTCTAGGTCCTCCAATGTGATTAAATGGTCAATGTCTGATGGAAGTTCTGCTAAAAATTGATCATGGAAATCTCTATAGAGATTTCTAGAGAGATTATATTAATCAAATCCACAAATAATCAAATCCTCCAAAATAAACCTGCAAATGAGGTGGGATGACTGTATTAGATTTTCATGGCTAGGAGATGGATTTTGATATGAAGGGACAATAAAAATGTGATCTGATTTCAAAGCAGATGTAGTTCTAGGAACTGTGTACTATTCTTTTCATCTACGTATATGTATATCTTGACTTTTGGAACTGAAATGCGAAACTTTGATTATATTAACACAATACTAAATTCAAATGTAGAAGTTTCTATATTTTAAGATCTCATACCAAGTGAATTAAAATGTATGTGCATTTAATCCAACTGGTAAATGACAGGGAAATGAAACTTCTTTGTTTGATATCATTTTATAGAATCTACAGCATATTGAAAGGAGAAGGCAACTGCTTTAGTTGTGTTAGTGCAAGCTGCTGATGCACCTTTCAAACTTACCCTTTGCCTTTCAAAAAAGCTGGAGCAGCCCTAGCCAGCAATTTGTTCTGCTCTACTTCATTACTCTTGTAAGGAGAGCTATTTAATGAGATAGGACAACTAAGAAGACAATAAACAGCAATAGCCAAAACCTACTGAAATACATTTACTAACTCTAAAACATATGTAAGTAAATTACAGGATAGTTGTATGCAATACTGATCAGAAGTATGCCTCACTAAGACCCCTTCTACATTGCCATATGTAATCCACATTATCTGCTTTGAATTGAATTATCTGGCAGTGTAGACTCATATAATCCAGTTCAAAGATGATAATGTGGATTATCTGCTTTGATAATCTGGATTACATAGTAGTGTAGAAGGGGCTTTTGTTTAGTAGAACTCAAACCCAAGTACCCCGGTTGAATATATGGAACTGAATCCTTAAAGAACAAACCATTCTAAACTTAAAATAATTTCCAATCTGAGATATCTCACAAAGTCTAAAATGAATATACAATATCTGTACTTTTATTTCTCTCTATATATATTTAAGAAAACACCTTACAGTTGATATCAAAACAATTGCTAAAAGTCTTTTTAATTTTCCAGGGAGTTCCTAAGCAGCAATCTAGACATTCTGTGGAATGAGTCGTAAAGCTGCCAACTCTTTAGAATGTTTAATGTTGTAGTAGTTGAGAAGTGATGGGAACAGAAGAATCGGTTCTGTTAAAACACAGTACATTGCACAGTTGCAGAAAGATCCCCCCTTTGTGGATTTACCATTAAGTTGAATAGATATCTAGGATTGCGTAGTGTTTATTGGAATGTTTATTTTATGATTTTTTTCCCTTTTTAATGTCACTTTGATAATGTTGTTGTATGTTGTATATGTTTTGATTTTATTGCTGTATTATGTTGTCCGGGCTTGGCCTCATGTAAGCCGTTCCGAGTCCCCATAGGGGAGATGGTGGCGGGGTAGAAATAAAGTTTATTATTATTATTATATTATTATTATTAGTACTATTATCTAAAAGGTTTAATAGTATTCTTTTATCAGCCTCACTGTAGACTTCTCTTCTAAAATATGAAATTAATTCCTGGCTCTATCACATTTGATCCAAATGCTTTGTTTTACTACTTGTGCATAATTTTAATCTACAGGGGGTTTTTTTTGCATCAACATTCAACATAGTATATTGTACAATGAAGTAGCAAGAAGTCATCTAGAATGTGACAGAACTAATACAAATTATTTCCCATTCTATTAGGGGTCTTCTTCTTTAGCTACAATGTGTGGTAGAACTCAGCACCACCAGAGAAGGTGTTGAATTCCATTCCAGACAGAATGTGACAGTTCGATAATGCAGCATCATACAACAATACAACATACATTGCTGGAATCTATTCTCTACCAAGGAATGAAAAGAAATAGGCAGCATGTAAGTGATACAGAAAATAAAAATCATTGCAGCATCCAGCTCTTATGAAAGAGTAGATTAGGGAAATATCACCTCTTTTACACTTCACAGATTGTCTTTTGCTTTGTTAACATTTGCTTTGTTAACTTTTTTTGGGGGGGGGGGCTAACATGATATAAATTATTTTCCTCCAGTTTCATTCCTTTCACAGGAAGGAACTTCAATATATGCAGATATAATTCAGATAGGTGGCAACAGTAAACAATTAAAGAGGAATATGGTTTTAATATAGAGGTATAGAGCTCTTTATAGGAACACCATACTGTTATAAAGGTCCTCTCTCCAAGGTCCTGAAGAGGCCGCTAAATCATTTACTTTTTTAATAGTTGGGATAAAGGCTAATTGTGATGTATAATGAATTTGCAAATATATAGTATACAAGTATTACTTTTCTATGTACTTATATACCCATTTAAGAGGGGCTTAAACTTACAGAATGCATTTAGGTTTCAATTTAAATGGGATGACACCAGGTTCATCAGGTGCCCTTAGAAATGATGGCAGAACACAACTTCCATATTCAGATAGTCTGTCACTAAATACTATAGCTAGGGAGCAATACTGAATTCTTATCAGAGGATTGTTTTAAACCACTGGGGAAAATTAGGATTAGATTAATCTTTGGTTACAGAGCTATGTTTTGGTTTTTTTATGTGATAGGTTCAACAGAAGGTCCCGAAACCCACCACAAAATACAATTTACAGTTAGCTTTCCACATTTACAGGTTAGATTTTTGCAGACTTGATTTGTTTATGGATCTGAGTAAAATGTTATCTCTAGGAGTCTCTAGGGTCATCCAGGGCAATTCTCTAGTCAACCTTTGGTAGAAGTTGACCACAGAGACATATGTGCTTTAAATAAAAACTTTGTGAGTGCCCTGTGCTCTTAACCTCAGTGAATGTGGAGGCTATATTACTTTTAAATGTTGCCTATGCTTTCAAAACACTTACTCATTAGTCAACAAAGGGAGTCTTCTTTTAGGAAAAAATGGACTAATAGAACTGACTTCAAAGTTCTTTGGATCCTGTCCATAATGTACTAACAGAAACAGACCTAGGATGTCTCTTCATCAGAAAAAGTTCCTCCCATTTTCCCTAAATGGCATCTTTAGAAAACTCTGGAATACCATCAATGGCCATAAGAATACAAAAGAAAGGAAAGGCTGTCTCAAAGATCAGAAAAGGCTGGAGACCACAAACAATCCTTGCTGTGTGTATGAAGTCCTTTTGTATGTGCACACTGAATTCTGGCAGTGACAAATAGATGGCTAGATGACTAAACAGCTGGATCTAAGACTAACAGTTACTTGGATCATTTAGTCTGATCACCCTTACTTTCTTTCAAATGTTTTGTTTGATCATTTTTCAGTTGCTTCAATTCAGGGAGCACAGTTCAAAGCTTTTAAGTTTCATTCCAGAATAACAATCAAACAGTTTAATACAGGGCATCTGAGCATGACATCCATTATTTAAAAGCTGGAATTCAGAAACCACTGTTTACATTTCATGAATCTTTGCACTAATGCCACAACTATCCATTTCATAAACATCCACATGATGTCAATCCCACACTTCTTTTGGATCAAATATCTTACTGTAGCAGTTGATTTTTAAATCAAATACCAAATTCTTCTGACTTCACACATCTATTACAGATCCAAGATAATATTTTAACAGAGCCCAGGTGCCTCAATAGTGTTCAGTATTAGCTAATGGTTCTCTTCAAGTACCTGTTCCTTCACATATGACCCCAGTGGTACAATAAAAGATTAACATTTACATTTAAGGCTCCTGATTCCTATTTTAAATGACTACAATACAATGGACTAGTATGAAGAACATGTTATTCATATATACATATAAAATCAAAGTATGTATGTATGTTTGTTTGTCTGTCTGCACCACAAAAGTTGTTTTGAGCTAAAGTGGCCCTTTGTGATGTTTCCACAAAAGAAAAGTGACATATGTATGAGGGAGGGAGGAAAGAGCCACAAAGAACATTGTGAGATAGGCCCTCTTGGAGCTTGAGAAGGGAGATAGAGGTTGGAAAGGAAAGAAAGAAAGGGAAAAATAAGGGAAAGAAAGGAATAGAGAAGGCAGGGAATGGGGGGAGAGAAAAGAAGGGAAGGGATGAAGGAATGAAGAGAAAGGAAGGGGGGGGGAGTATGATGGGAGGGAAAGACAAAAGAAGGAATTAAAGCAGGGGGCAGAAGTTGCAACAACAGCCAGGCAATGTCGGGTATACACACTAGTGCATACATGTTAAAAGGGGTGGTGCTATCACCTGTGAAAATGATCCTAAAGGGGAAATTACTACTGCAACTGTACCACAAATTTGTGTAACAACTGTAACATGAGGCCTGTTGTAGTGGGCCAACAAATCCATCAAATATCTGGCAAACCAGATATTTGTGCAAAGTTCAGGAGCTTAAAAGTTTTGCAGTTTATTCACTGTCATCATCAACTGTAGAAACAGGGCATAACTGAACACAAGGATATTTGTTTGGAAGCTAAGCAGGCATCACAACTGCATTTATAAAACAGTTCTATACAATAGGAATTCATTGAGAAAAAGAACTACACAACATAAAGTGAAAGATCAACAAACAAATGGAGATACTATCACTGAGTGATATTTAAAGCACAATATTTCACAGTGAAGTGTAAGGCATCCTTCACAATATAAAGAGAAAAAGACTGCTATCACAGTAAAACTAACCCAATTAAGTTGGGAGTTACACATAAAGACAACATCCACCTTTCAAAATCAAGGAATACACAAGATTGATGTTTTAATCATCTGAACTATACTTTCTAAGAAAAGATTTTGTAGATTTATTATATTGATGAAAAAGTCATTGCAGGTAAGTTCAGGGCCAACAGCAAAAATATGCTTGGATATGTGTATATGTATGACTTTCAGCAGGTAAGTAGCACCAGAGATCCCACTTCCCATGTTACCAGCCCAGGCTGGATCTTATGCAGAAGCTTTTGCAAAAACCTCAAATCCAACAATTATAGTTTTAATCCTCAGGAATTATTTAGGTATCATTGACTATTGAGGCTGAGATATGTCACATATGGCTGGGCTTTCAAAAACTGGATGACCTGCCATTAGTTATCATAGGGCAGATCAACCTCCTTTTGATGTGGAGATCAATATTCTTGTACGGGTTGTTGTGCTTGTGTCAGGGCCAACTTTTATGTTTTTCAATATAAGTCTCCCTTTTGATTTGTGTTTCCTCTTTGGAGTTTTTGAAGGCAATTTGCTCAAATTATAATTCATGGCTGAGCATGTCTAGCACTAAAAATTGCTACAAGTGCAGGTGACACATTTAAATACTTATATTCTGCATTTTTTTTAAAAAAGGAAGGTTCCAGGCCTGGCATGGAATCCATTTTATGTTTTATTAAAATGTTTAATAATTTTACGAAATGATTAAAATATTAGTGTAATGATTTTAGTGAAAAGACTACAGAACTACTTTAATTAGTGGTTTAGTGCTCTTATACTGACCGTGAATTGTTGTTAAGCTGATTTACATACAGCTTTATAACAGAATGCTCATCAGCCACATCATTGGCTACATTTATACTCTCAAGCAACCTGGATGATTCAAACAACGACATCATATTAACAATCTATACAAGCAGGAACATACATAGGGATATGTTTGCATGAATTCAGAGCATTCAGTTCATGTCCATTGTAGAAAATAACATATATAAATGTTATTCAAATGGACTGGGGTAGAAAGAAAAAAATCAGTCTGTTTGTTATTTTACAAAATGCCATTATGAGAAGGAAACTAACATAAAACATTAAAAAGTAGACAGAAGACCTGTGGAAACCATAAATGTACAAGACAATAACAACACAGAACATAGTAAGACTTTGCTAACAACACAAGAACTTGTTGCTTTAGGTGGAGCTTTCATATTCAGATAATTATCAGAATTTCTTTCCTGGATCTAGAAAGTTGTAGATTATCCATGCTCAATTCATAATAATTAAACATGAATGAGAAAAAAAATTGCATGCCATCAGTTAAATAACTAAATCAAAGAAAATCAGAAAACATTTTGCTTTGCTTATTCTCAGTGTGTTAAATACTCAGATAAGTAAATAAAATCCATTGCACATTAACTAGGGCTATGCATGAATGTTTACACATTTTGCTCAGATCATGATAAGCTTTCTGTATTTAGCACATGAAACAAACAGAAGGATGGATGCAGTCCTGTACAAACAGTGTGCTCCTAGGCATGGCAATTGCTTCGTAGAACTGATTCACAATAGTTATTGTAATCAGATGTAATGAACAACCTACACACATTGTATCAATGCTACCAATTCCTATCAGTTTAAGTGAAGAACAAGCCCAGATGAGGGATAAGGGCCTTCACATAAAAATAATTAATTTACAAATGGCCTTCTCAACTAATTTTAATCTCCATCTTTTATGAATGTTTAGCAAAGATCTGTTGCACCAGAAAACTAATAACACCAATCTAATATGAAGCCCAAGAATATTAACTATTGTATATTTTTATTAAAATATTTATATCCTGCCCTATAACAAAATGATCTCAGGTCAGTTTAAAAATACCGTTAAAACAAGTTAAACAGATTGAAGCAATAAAATAATTTAAATATGCGAAAATATATTTAATATTATAATGAGTTAAAACAGATTAAGGGTTTTAATTTTTCCCCCAAAAAAGTAAAAGCAGTATTCAAGATGAACATAGGACCCCCAAGGATTTGATGAAAAGCCAGGTTTTCACTTGGAGCCCAAATCAAATGAGTGTTGGTGCCAATTGGGCCAACAAGGAGAGAATATTCCACAGGTTGGGATGCCAAAGTTGATTAGGCCTTCTCCCATATTCCAACACAATTGATTGATGGGACACAAAGGACTCAATTCCCAGCAGACTTCAGTCCTTGGTCCCTAAAGTACTAAGGATCCAAACTGTTTGAAGTCTGAAATGTCATCACAAGTACCCAACATTCAGATGTTGGAAATGTTAGTAAACAATGCCATTCTTTATCAGACTGGAATTGTTGGCTGTCTATATGGTACTTCAGCCAGCAATTGAGCTGCTGCATCTTGCACTAGCTGTAGAATTGGGTTTTTTTTAAAGGCATCCCTATGTAGAGCACATTACAACAGTGTAATAGGTAGCTTCCTAGTGCATGGAACTACTGTCTAATTTGACAACTTTTCATGCGAACATCTTTTCAGTATGCTCCGATCAGTTTCTTGCTATTTACTTTCCTACTGCCTATTTCCAGAACCCTTTCCAATATACAAAAATAAAAACTTGTCTCTATATAAAAGTCAAAGTATGTTTGTTTATTTGTCTTTTTGTGCCACAAAGGTTGTTGCAAGGTGAAATGGTCCTCTGTGATATCACTGGATTGGCTGTTGCTAGGTGAAGTGGCCTTCTGTAATGTCACTGGGAAAAAGGCAACATGTGTATGAGAGAAAGGGAGAAGGTAAAGAAGGAAAGAACCACAAATAGAGCTTGCTCACTGTTGTCAAAGTGTTTCCATGGAGACATTGTGAGGTAGGCTCTCTCAGAGCTGGAGAAGGGAGAAAGTAGGTGTTCCACAGTCCCAATGATGGATATATATGCGAGCATTATATAAATAGTTCTTTTTCTGTTTATCTTCTTGAAAATTACAGATTTTAAAAATAAGTTTTAGTCAAGAGCCATGCTTGCATAATTTGAGGAGGTACTATTTGAGGAGGTAGCAACAATTTGAGGAGGTAGCAACATTTTGATCTACACACTAGACTAGTTCTGGAATCAATAAAGATTGCATTTGTAGACATTCCTAGTTCTAGGCCACTAGAAGCTTTTAAAAATGTACTTAGAGAAATGTGTCTATGGTTCAGACATAATGCTGCTGGTCCAAGAAATCATGTTTTCCAGAAATATGACATGACCTCAATTGCTCATTCCCGTCCATCTCTCTCTTTCTTTGTGTACCTGGCTTCAAAGGAAAACATATCAGGAAAGCATGTGTTTTTATTTGTTCCTTATGAATCACAACTGCAAATCATGATTGCACACTATGACTTGCAATGCTGGCTTATAAGGAAGATTTAGGCCAGGTTTGCTGGGGTCCTTTACAATTAAAGCACTATGATTCTACCTCAACTGTCATGAATACATCTCATGGGATGAGATGTATTCATGTATTCATGATCTGGGATTTGTAATTTGGTGAGATTAGTCTTCTCTGTCTGGGAATTATAGATAACTCTCCCTGAACTGCACATTCCAGGATTTCATAGGTTGTAACTATCACAGTTGAAGTGTAATCATAGAGTGTAAATGCTGAAAGGACCTTTGATTGCCTCCTAAAGAAGGCATCTGAAAGAAGGAACAAGGAACAGATTGTAGAGCTTCAACCCATAAATAGTTCCGGCTTCACAAAGCCTTAGTTCACTGGAATAAAAAGGAAATGCTGTTTCTGAACAATGTCTATGCCTAGACTCAGGGAATATGTGAAGGTATATGGCAAAAGAAAACCAGAACTTGAAGAGACTTTGGTACTGTCAATTCTGGGTTGGAAGACTACATGAGAACTTTCTATATGCTTCATTGATTTCCATGTAGAATATATATGTACAAAATAAATTTAGTCAAAAAGATGTAAAGCATTTCTTTCTTTGTTTTCATTATGACATTGGATGTTAAGCTATAAAATAAAAGAAAGTATTTAATCATTATATCTGAAAATAGATCAGGAGGAAAACTCACCTTCTATTCGTGAATGGGCTTCCTGAGGGAACAGAGTGGGAGAACAGTGTGTCATTCATGCTGGTGACTGGTCTAGGAGGCCTTGAAAAAAGACAAAATTACTTGTAAGACATCTCTTTTAGTGTAATACAGCATTCAATACTGAATGTCAACACAACAAAAAGTCAACAGTGAACAGCACTGCAGAATATTCTGTTCTTGTGCTCTAAAAACTAGAGATTAAACCAGAAAAATTTCATGGAAATTAGGACTGTTAGAAAAACACTTATTTAAGTACTGAGACATTCTCTATACAATTTGTTTGATTCTTTTTGCTTCAGATTTTTTTTCCCCTGAAGCATGAGCATGTCAGACAAAATATGATGTAGAAATTTCTTCAGCGCCCTTCACTGCCTTCTTGTGAGTTTAAGAATCTCTGGTTTAACGCAATCAGTTGGAAGTAATGATTTATAGGTGATTTGGTTACCTGTAACTAATTACCTATTAATGAGGGTGCAGGCAAGTCACACTGCAAAGTCATGTATGAAAGAAATGTAGCAAATGTGAAGTTACTTTATTGATTTAATGAGTAATGGATTCAAGTCTCAAATTTCACTTTAAGGGCATTTATGCATTTACTTTTCTTAAAAAAGTAACAATGCTGGCCATTGAAAACTGTGTAGAAAGTGCCATAGCAGGTCCTCAACCAGGACTTTTAATTTTTATGCCACATAGCAAATAACCCTTTAAGGAAGTTTGCCAAGGCAAAAATCAGGGGACTCGTTTAATGAAGGGGGAACACAAGTTTGACATTCAGAATAAATATACACAATTTCAGTTTCAAGCAGCCATCACATGGATGCTTGTTATTATGAATCAATGGTCCACCAAGGCTTACAAATGGAAAAAAATCCTGACCCTAAACTAATATATTCCATTTACTGTATTTAACTGCACAGCTGATGATATATGTTTCTCTTGAGAAAAGCCGTTTTTTCTTTTGCTTTAAGGTGTTTTATTCAAGAAGTAGTGAAGGGAAAATAAGTACATAGAAAATAGGAACGCAGTATCACAAAAGTCCACATGCAACAGGAGCTCTGTGACAATTTTAATTTCAATTTGTATTTTATAAAGAGTGCTGCTTAGGAATACATATTTCCAATATGAGTGGTGGCTATATTTCTTGTGCCTGTCAGGACCGACTTAAGTCCCCTTACAGAGCCAACTTAGGCCAAAATCCTTTCAGTTCCCTATGCAAGAAGTTTTACCAGGCAATAAAGCAGAAGCGAAGGACAACCGATTAAGCAAGTTCATTGTGTTGATGCTTTATTTCCATCACTGCTCCCATGCCTGTAGCCTTGAGTGGTGTGCTAATGGGATTCTGGCCACCCAGAAACTCCTTCTGTAGGGCAAAAAACCATTTCACAAAGGCTTCCAAGATATTTGCTCATATTCTATTACTTATCCTCCCCTGGAAGCAGTATAGAAATCACCTTTAAAACATAGGTGGGGTACTGGAATGGTGGGCAGAAATTTAGCTACTGATTTGTATAATATCAGGCTACTTTGCACACCTATTACATTATTTAAAAGATGGGGGAAGCTGCTGATGCCAACAAAGCTTTCAAGATCTGGGCACTATATAGATACAAAGAAATAAGAATGCATAAACACATTAAGGGTTATTGTCGAAGGCTTTAATGGCTGGAGCCACTCGCCTGTTGTGAGTTTTCCGGGCTGTACGGACATGTTCCAGAAGCATTCTCTCCTGACATTTTGCCTGCCAAAGGTTAACTGTCAGGAGAGAATGCTTCTGGAACATGGCCATACAGCCTGGAAAACTCACAACACCACATTAAAGTTTATGTTGATAGTGATGAACTTTCAGCTCTCTCAGTATTGCTTGAATAAACTGTTCTTGTTAACTTATACCCTACTTGTGTCCAATAGTCTCATCAGTCTGGGAGAGAGATAAGGACCAGTCTGAATCTTAGTGTCTTTCTCCCTATTTTATTAGGAATAGAGATATAAGAAAAGAGCAGAGGAAAGGGTGAAGGAACACTGAAAATTCAATACACTAGAGAGAATTCATGTGTTAATTTTTACTCTTCTGAAGAACCATACCACATAATTACCAACAAATGTGCAACACAACTTTTGTTTAAGTTAAAACAAATCAACACAAATATGCTATTTTGTATACCAATAATACTCAATATCTTAAATCCTTTTGTTGCAGATTTACTGCTCAGTACATTGCTTTGAATGCCTAATTAATTTGCTACCTAGAATATGCATTCAAAGTTTCAGAATGCCAACCTATTCTAAAAGGTCAATATTGCTTCTCTCTCACAAGAACACACTAACTGAATAATGCTTTACTTACCAGGTATCTCTTTTGCAGCAGAAATGAAATACAAAAACAAAAAATATTAATTAAGGTGAAGTATTTTCTTTAAAAAGCTGGTAAAAATATGGAAACCCAATTTAATTCAAGATTAAAACTCTGATTTTCAAGCCAGTCAGTTTATTCTGGCAAGTAGCTTTGTCATAGGTCAACTTGAGAATGCAGTTCTTCAAATGTAACTTTATAAGATCAGAACTTCTGTTATATTTTGACACAGTTACTGTTGATTTTATTTTTAAAGCCAAACAGTAGTTGACAGTATATATTTAAAACCACTGTCATTTACTTTCCTTAAATTTGGAGGACATAGATAAGAATTTGAAATATACACAATGCAGTCTGATAATTGGATTTAAACAATTAAGTACTTCTGTCTTTTTTTTCTCTAGATCTAGTTGTAATGGATATTTCACAGGATTTAGTTCACACAACAAGTTCTCTCCCTACCAGTTGGTATTGAGACTACACAGCCCATAATTCTCAGCATTCCACTGTCAGAAGCCACAATTACTTGGATACTGCCCTGAGTTGCCCGAAAGGCTGAGAAGGGCAGTATATAAATATAGCAAATAAATAAATACTACTTCCAAAAAATTAGAAAGTGACAGTTAATGCACTGATGTGAAAAAGCTTCATGAATAATGTATAATGGGTAAAAAGTGATACAAAAAGGCTAGGATCTCAGAATCATGGAATTAGATCTATATGACCAGGTAGATATTGTATGTGGGTTTCTGAATGACAACTCCTTCCCAGAACATACAGCTCTTCATCGTAATACTTCTCAGGGAGGTTCTATTGTACTATAACCTGTATTTCTAAACAGAAGAGTTTCAACAGCACTTTGTGAGACAGCAGGGATGTCTGTTGATCAAAGAAGACATCACTCATCCCAACAAGGTGGACACAGGCCTTTGGCTGTGCTTAAGTAGCATCTTGAATGTCAGCTATAATACATCTCTATATATTTCAAAGTCAGTGTATGTTTTCCTGCCTGTCTGCATGACAACAGCTGATTCTAGATGAAGTGGCTCTCTGTGTGATGTTTCTAGGGATTGGCTGTTGGTAGGTGAAGTGGCTCTCTATGATGTCACTGGGAAAAAGGTGGCAAGTGTGTGAGAGGAAGGGGGCAGGAAGGAAAGAGTCACAAAGATTGCCATGGAGACATTGTGAAGCACTCCCAGAGCTGGAGAAGGCAGACAGGGAAGAAGGAGGATAGAAAGAGAAAAGGCAGGAAAGAAAGGAAAGAGGAAATTAAAAAGTTGGGAAGGAAGGGAAAGGAAAGAGAAAAAGGTACAATAGGACAGAAATTGAAAGAAGGAAAAGCAGATGGCTAGCAGCCCCTCTAACATCAGGACAATCCTGTATATATATGCCAGTTAAATATAAATAAATAAAATGGTTTCACCTGAAAGGTTTCTCATGACTAGTAATTAATATTGTTGTAGAAAATATATGTTAAAATGCTTTAGATCAGTGGTTCCTAACCTTTGTTTGACCAGGGACCCTTGACCAGGACCATTCTCCAATATTAGTACCAAGGGATTACAAATCAATTTTTGGTCAACTTTAGATTTGGTTTGGTTATGCGGAGTACTGATTCAGAAAACTGCATTGGAGTGACCACAACAGTTCTAGTTTCTGATACAAAACATATGCCATCCAGTAATCACCATCTGCTTGCTAACAGAAAACCATATTTAATAAGCCTCAGCACTATGGGTTTTCACGAGACCAGTCACTCCCATTGCAACAGTGTAGTAATGGTGAGGCCACGGACCATATTTTAGTTCTTGCAGACTACTGGTGGTCCATGGACCACAGGTTGAAATCACTGCTTTAGAAGATCTGCCGGCTAATAATTCATAAAAACTGCAAAACATTTATTAGAGTTTAAGACAATTGTAGTGGTCAAAGCATAATCTAGTCCTTGTATGCAAATGTTGTACCTTGTAATTATGGAACACATATCAATTTCCTGTGCCTGAGAGGAAATGATCTGTCTAGGAATTAGCTAGATTCTCCTAGTCATTCTATGGCATGTTCCCCTTGGATTTGACCTAGCAAATTGCTAGTGAGAATACTTCTTTAGGAATCTCTAGGCTCTCCAGAGAAACTGTTACACACAAGCCTGGAAACCACACAACAAACCAGTAGATGTAGTACAATGCCAGTAGAAATTCAGATATTGGGCTACAAAAGTTGTTTGTCCTTAGTAAAAGTTATTGCCTCAGGCAGAAAGAGAACTTTGCTAGCATGAAGTCTACCATTAAAAGTGGTTATAAATATCCTTTTGCTTATATGCTTGCCTAGAGCTTTTTATCATGATACAGTTTATCTTCCATTATATTGAGAATAAAAACCATTCTAATAAGAAAATATTCTCAAAGACTTTGTGTAGCTTATCTTTTCTTCCAATTTAATTTATTACAGTTGATGCTTTCCCTATAACTTCTGCATTTTTATATTTGCATTTTTCTAGTCAACACTATTTCTACTTTATCAGTCAGAAAAAAGGATACAAAATGGAGCTGCACTTAAAGAATACCCTGCAAGTGCTTGGCAGAGTCAGCCCCAGTTAATCATTGAATCCACTTTTTCAGCTGCTTTTAAAATGTCTAAGTTTTTTCCTCTGCTTACTCCACTTTTTGTCCTTTCTCCTTAGCTTACTTTAATTGATGCAAATTGAGCAAAAGGTGCAAAAGTAGTTTTCATCCAATAAACTCAACAGAGGGAGGAGACACAATCTTGCCCTTCCCTGTAGATTGGGTATCCTTAACTGTGCTCCATGGAGCCCTTGGGGACCTCCTGAGAAATGCAGGGAAAATAAAGGTTTGAGCTGCCGGAAACAACAGCAGTAGCAGGTCCTCCCAGGGCACTGACCCTTTCTCCTCTGCTTCTCTTGCTGCCCAGACCCTTTTCCCCCACCTCCCTTGTTGCCTACACGTTTTCTCACCACCCAGACCCCCTGCCACCACTTTCTTTGCTTCCAGAACCCAATTTCCTGCCCACCACTCAGAGTGTGCTTTGACTGTTTTTTTCCTGAATGGCAGAATTGGGATGGTCTGGATGACCTCTGGGGATTCTGCTATTATTATTATTATTATTATTATTATTATTATTATTATTATTACAAAAACTGGTTGGCCATCTGTTGGGGGTGCTTTGATTGTGCTTTTCCTGAATGGCAGATGGGGGTTGGGCTGGATGGCCCCAGGAATCTTCCACTGAAATACTGTTAAGTTTTTGTTAGTTAGAATTGTTCTTTCATTTTAAATGTTGTATATATGTTTTTTGCACTGTGTGAATTAGTCCACACAAACACTTTTCATCCTTCTGTCACTGGCTTGGTCCATGCCTGAGATACACCCACACAAGATATCTCTCTCTCTCTCTCTCTCTCTCTCTCTCTCTCTCTCACACACATAATATAACATATAAACATTTCTTGGGGTTCCACAAGAAAGATTTGCTTCAAAAGGGGCTCCACAGCTGAAAAAGATTGAGAACCCCTGCTGTAGACTAATAGCCTTATCACATTGATGTCGGATTCACCATGTATTGTGGTGAATCTGTATAGTCCCAGTGGGGGGCATGGAGTACTCGTCGCCCCACACCCTGCATCGCCCGACATACCAGAAACCTGGCTTCCCCCCATTGTTTCAAAGGCAACACAGGAAAGTTCCTGTGTGGCTGTGGCAATGGCATACACCGCTTGCTTTCCTCTTTTGCCACAGAGCCTAGCCGGAAGTAGATGTGCATTGTTTAATGGGCTCTGTGGTGACAGGGGAGTGCAAGTGGCATATGATGGGCAAATTGCCCCATCTGATGTTGTCAGACAAAAGCAAACTGTGAAACCCTGTTCTAGCTTGTGTGTTCTTTCCCATTAATAAATTTTGAGGTCTTGACCACAGTTTGATGTTGTTTGGCTACATGTATCCCAGTATGTAACTGTGAAATGTTGGAGAGTATGGAAAGTGTGAGGCTATCTTATGGTCAAAACAACTGGTTGCTTTCTTATGGTTCTTAATTTTCCTCATATACTCTTTTGATTGGCCCAATAAAGCATGGATTTTGTATTTGATTCAGCATAGCTATTTTGAAAGGGTCAATCCTGAAAGCTTCATATCCCAGTATGACTTACTATATTAAAGTTACAATCCAGCTAACATTAGTTATGATGAGAATGGAAAATCCACTGACGTACTGAAGGCAGCATGATATGGGGTGAATGGGTAAAGGAAGGGATTGATATTTCAGTGGGGCGCTATGTGCAAAAGGGGAACAGGCAATACTGTGGCTATGTTTTTGAAAAAGTTAACTATCGAGCAGAGTGCAGGATAAACAGCAGAATGTATTGTTTATTTTTCATTGTAATTTTATTGTTATATATTGACAATAAAATTACTGAAATACGGTTGCATGATTTCCTGCCTCAGATATGAAAACAACACGGAAAGCATGGGTACTAGGTATCTAGACTGTAATGTGTAATGCTTCTGGCAGAAAAATGTCTTATGCCACCATGGCTTCAGAAAGTGAAGTAGCCACTCTAGTACTCTCATGTTTTGTTTACATAAAAAAATACTAATTCTGATGAACTAAATACTAAATAGATGATATAGAATACTGCCCATGCTTTCTAAGCTATAGCAACTGTAGCATGCAAAGGGAATTAGCATTTTTCTTTTCCTAATCCCCACAATATATAAAATATGTATGTCTTTAATGTCTGCCTTATGGAGAAAGCCAATGGGTATCTGGTTATTATAAAAGGTCACGCAGGCAAGTTCTATAACATGTTAACGAGCTAAAGAGCATGGTATTTTATAAATTATTCACAAAATTGTATTCTGTGAATTAAGTTCTCTAACACTTTTGGCCTTTATCAACCTTTCAGCTGTATCTTTCAGTTAAATAGTATAAGCACCTCAGTTAATAAAGCTCTAATAGAGAAGCAGATTTTACAGTATTTTTTTCAGCAACTAAGCCCAATTTTCTTCCTTGTCCTGTAATAAACTCAGTTTGTTTTTTTTAAAGCTGAGCTTACATTGGGGGGCATTGGGAGGCATTAGAATGGTGAAGGAAGGAAGGAATGGTGAAGGAAGGCTGGAGAAACACAGATTTTCTATGGTGTGTTTCAGGAAACAATATAATAAATTCTGTGCTGGAAATAAATGACAATCGATCTTAGCTGTTATTCAAATTTAACTCCTAAATGAAGATCTTGCTATACTGAAATTTAGAAGAATTAGTCCAGAATGTTTTTTTAAAAGCTTGTAATGTAATTAAAGTATTTAATTAAAATCTATATAAATTAAAATGTAATGTTCATTTGTGGGATTAACATAACTCAAAAACCACTGGACGAATTGACAACAAATTTGGACACAATACACCTATCAGGCCAACGAGTGACCATCACTCATAAAAACACTGGAAAACTTAAAAAGCCAAAAGTTTTTTAAAAAATACATTACAACGCATGTGCAGAATTACATATATGCACATACATACACACACAAAACACATATACACAGACTGGGCCACAGCAATGCATGGCAGGGTGCGGCTAGTATGCATATAAATTCACTTTTGTTTCAATATGTTCTTAACTTTACAGTGCCACAAAGATGAGCCACAAATGTGAGTAATTTCATTCCACAATTGGACTGTTTAATGAACAGTCTTATAGAAGATATGGAAAGGTTGCTTTTTGGCTGCCCTCAAATCAGAATAAATAAGAGGTCATCTAGAACAAAGGCTATTATACTCTTGTACCGTTTATGTTATATACTGCACCTTGGAGTGGCTTTGTAAGCCACCCCGAGTCCCCTTGGGGAGATGGTGGTGGGATATAAATAAAGTTTATAATAATAATATTATCATTAACTCCATAGCACACAAATACTTACACAATATGAGCCAGGTTTAGAGGTTTTTCAGGCTGGTCAGGGAACATTGGGTGCAAAGGTTCACGGCTGGAAGCACAGCTTAAAGACTTGCTAAGGGCATTAGTTAGCTTCTTAGCAGGTGATTTCTGGGAGGAACAAGGAAGGAAAGGTAATTTGGACAGGTAAGGTTTAAACTGTTTGTGCTACCACAGAGCTATGGGAAAACGTTCTACTTGCTATTGGTCTGCTTACATTATTCTGCTACCCAAATCCACTTATTCAGTGGGCCAGTATCATCCATTCACATTCACATTCACATCTATCTATCTACTATCTATCTATCTATCTATCTATCTATCTATCTATCTATCTATCTATCTCAAGGCTATCTTTCACCTGTTCTCACAATAAGAGGGCTGGAAGAGAATGCAAGGTAATGTCCACTCCACTCATTACAACAGTCATAGAGAAAAACAGTATTTGATTTTCAGCCTGCTTCTTTTTTTTCTTCCAGAAATCAACATCAGCTATTTACCATTCAGTATGGACTGATGGGTATACCCTGACACCCATACATGTACCAATGCTTCATTCAGTTGATAATCTCCCCATCTCTGTCCCACTACTGAATTATAGCACTAAGATTCCACATTAAGTTGTCATGGCAACATCCTTTGGAATCCTGGGGAATGTAGAGAATTCTGAATGCTCTCACCATAATGGAAAGTCCCTGGATTCCATGGGATGGAACTATAGTGATTTAAAGTGGAACCATAGTGCTATAAGTGTGCGGTGTGAAGAATCCGATATCAAGACTGAGCTTTAATGTATCTTGTCTACATTTTGGATGTTTCTATTTTTACTGGTTTGCTACTTCAAGAGCAGGAAATATTTGGTCCTCCAAATATCTAAGCCAATAGCTTTTAGCAGCTCTCCCCAGGCAAAAAGTTAGGGAATTGTGGGAGTTGTCATCTACAACATCTTGAGAGCCAAATGTTTCCTTCTTTTTTGTACCACAAAAGAGTTATTGATAACTCAGGAGCTTTCACGTTTTTGTGGTATTTTGGTTGACCCAAAATATTACCCAATAATATATTTTGTTTCCATTTGTTTCTCCCATTTATTTATTTATCGTGTCATCCGCAACCAGAACATTGTATTATATTTCTAACAGAACAAAACAAACAAACAGATATCTGTTTCTCCCATGGACTAACACTACTGTGTTTCTCCGCCCACCATAAATTCTTGACTCATGAAAAAGTCAAATCTAGAAATTAGCAAAGATGGCTGTCAAAAGTAGGAATCAACACATGTGTACTACATCTTTCATTTGGCAGTCTATAAATCAGCCTATATTTCATGGTACCTCACTCCACCAAGCTAACTGTCTATGTGGCATTGGTAATCTAGAAACCATAGCTATTTATTTCTCAGATTTTGCCTATGGAAACTCTTCATATGCATCAATTTTCAAACACAGTATGTTTGTACTGTAGTAGCTTAGTTTGTATTTACTGATTTTTTGTGCTTAACTCCTTTCTTGTAATGCAACTGCCATCACTCCAGGATTTGAAATGCAGGGGCTGAGGGCTACACTGGTTTCCCATCACCTGATCCACAATCTGATTAACTTGTCTTTATAAATGCTTTGTTTCAAATCATGCATAATTGATTAAATGGAATCTGTTGCTAGGAAAATGTGCATAGACTTACATCATCCATGACCTTGAATCTAACAAACTTGCATTAATTTTGTTAGGGCTGAAATAGACATAAACTGGATCACTGACATCAGTTGATATTCTTGAGAAAATGATCAGACAGACTCATACATGTTTTAACTGAAGGTAAAATAGTGTTAGGTATTGCTTCATATGGGTCAGTGTGGTTTGGGCATTGGACTAGTGTTCAAATGCTCACTGGGATCATGGAAACCCATTGGGTGACTTTGGGCAAGTCACATTCCCTCAGACTCACCAGAAGGCAAGAGCAATCCCTCTTTGAACAAATTTTGTCTAGAAAACCTGGTGACAAATTTAGGGTGTCATAAGTTGGAAATGAAATGAAGGTACATCACAGCCACATAACTAAGTGAAATATTTTGGAGTAAAGAAACTACATTGACAAAACATAACTGAATATATATCATAGTTACTTTTCTATTGAGCTTAATCAAGCATGTTTAATAAAGAACTGAACACTCTGTGAATAACATCCAAGGTTATTTTCAGGCACATGTTCTATGTAGAAGCCATAATTCACTTTAGATTATACATTATCATATTGATCGACCACAGAATAGGAGGAAAAAAGCCAACATTCGACGACGTCCTATGAAAACAAACAACTTACTGTGGAAATAGTTTTATATTCCAAGAACTGCCTGCAGCTGTCCTGACATCCAGCACAGTATTAACAGGTTGGACAGTTCAAATCCACACTGAGGTTTGCCACATTGTTCAGTTTCTTCCCATTTTCATCTCAGAATTGACTGGGGCTTCTCCATTATAGAAGGATATGGCTAAACTGGCCACATTAGTTTTCTAGCTGTGGCTTTAAGGGGAACGATTCGGTCACTTCCAACTCCCATCCTTGGGGTGTTTTTTTTTGTCTCTCTCTGACTGGTGGAGTTCAAACAGTCTGCAGCAATTCATGAACCTTCCCTTACCCATGACGTGTATTCTTTCATTTGGTGCTGGTTGCTATGGGAACCACTGGCATGTCCCCTCCAGAAGCAATCTTGACAGAGCTGGTAATTGTGACACTGCTGGCATCGATAGCGAAATCCCATCATGCTCTCGCTATGGCAGTAGGAACACTCAACAGGGTGGAAGACTACAAGGGAAATAAATTTGAAAGCAAAACAAAACAATCAATGCAGCATTAAAACCAAATCCATTAGAAGAGCTACCCTTTGTATCTGTTGATTTTCAATATCAAATGCTCTTTTGGAATGGGCTGAAATTTAAATGCTACAAGATTCACCCCCCCCCCCCACAACAAACAAACAAACAAAAAAATCATCTGCTGCTAAGAAAAAAATGTTTTCTAGCACCAGGAAGACCAACACTGGAGAAATCTACTTTTATCAATTTGGGGGGAAAGAAAGGTATTTAAGAAGGGGAGCACAAATACTTTAGGAGACAACAATGGCTAGAGTTATGCTGAATAGCTGGCAGCTTGATCTTGGCATTCCTAAATACATGGAAATCACATTGTATGTTTAAATAAAAGGCCTTATTTTTTCAATTAGTCAGAAATATAGCAATGTTATAGGCCTGTTTGTATGTATGTGTGTGTGTGTGTGTGTGTGTATATATATATATATATATATATATATATATATATATATATATATATATAGTTAGTTAGTTAGTTAGTTATATATATCTAGAACAGTGGCTCTCAATCTTCCTAATACCACAACCCCTTAATACAGTTCTTCCATAAAATTATTTTTTGCTACTTCATAACTGTAATTTTGCTATTGTTATGAATCAAAATGTAAATATCTGATATGCAGGATGTATTTTCATTCACTGAACCAAATTTAGCACAAATACCCAATACGCCCAAATTTGAATACTGGGGTGGGGATTGATATTGTCATTTGGGAGTTGTAGATGCTGGGATTTATAGCTAACCTACAATCAAAGGGCGCTTTCCCCCCTGCCTTGAAGCAAGCCTCTCTCCAGCCTTGTACGCTCTCCCTCATCTGCACATGCGCACCACAGTGCCATGCGCTGAGCACGCCTGCTCTCCCCTCCTTTCCTGGAGTCTCAGAAACAGACCTCCCTTGGCTGAGAGGCTGGCCAATCACAGCAGGAGGAGGGCTTTTGTTGGGAGAATTCGCCATCTTTTTCCAAAAAGGAAGGACAGGTGATCTTCAGCCTTCCCTGCCAAAGGGGTTTCTAGACCATCAGAAATATGTGTTTTCTGATGGTTTTTGGTGACCCCTCTAAAATCCCCTCATGACCCCCCCCAGGGGTCCCGACCCCCAGGTTTAGAAATGCTGATCTAGGATTACACATCACAGATTAATGTTGTGGTAATGTCTTTGGCTAGTGAAAAGAGGAACATATAAGAAACTGGGATACAAATCTTTGTTTATTTTCACTGTATCTGACAACAAGATACCAATTTTCTTCCCTCCTCACTAGAGAGATGGGCAAGATATTTTTGTTAGTCTTGAGAGAGTGTTCAAACGTGTAAGAATGGTTTTTGTGTAAGTTGAGCAAATTGCGTACATTCTCCAAAGCTCACAGTTAAACCTCGAAAGCTGTTGTCTTCTTGCACTGATTTTTACAATTTTGAAGCATTAGATGAAGTGTTTGCGTCTTCCACATGTGCTGTGTGTCCACCCAAAACAGCTAAATCTGTGCAGATATTTTTGCACAAACTAGAGAAAAATCAGTAAAAATCAAAGTTTACCCATTCTGACTTTGGTGGCAAGAATTGTTGGGGACGCTGGCAGTTTCTTGACAGGCTGCAGCAAAGTGTTAACATAACTCTCTCAATGAGAATGAGAATTTTTGGAAAAAATGCTTATCATCTCTAGAGAGAAATACAACCACAGCAGAGAGAAGACTAATGATTTTTTATAAGTTTCTCAGAGTATTAACTGCAAAATAACCAGAAAGATATTCACAAACTGGAACATGTTCACAGAAGTACAACCGAGAAAGTATAAGCTTAGAAACAACGGGCACTTCTATACAGGCGTATAAAGAGGGTTTAAAAACCAGTTACCTTCTGGAGAGTCTACATCAGACTAAATTGTTCTAGAGCAATTCTCCCAGGGTGTCAACAATAATACAGAACAATCCAGATAAGCGGGACAGAATTTCAAAATTTGGCTATGTGCTGGTGCCATCCACACCAGTGCACTGCATGGAAATATTGCTAAGTCTCATATTTTCCATGTGCCTGTGAAATAAAGGTGTGTTGCAGCACATTTTTCAGCTGAACCCAGACTTTCTCCAAATCCTTTTAAACATAGGTTTCCCCCCATTTAATGTGCTTCCACCCAGATTTATGGTTATGATTGTTTGGCCACCCTCCTGTAATCCATTTCAGTGTGGATAGTTGAAGCCTAAGCTTTATATGGAACAATGGAAGGCTCCATCTATAATGCTATATAATGCAATTTGAACTAGATTTATTGGTCAGTGCAGATTCATATAATGCAGACTGAACTGAATTGAACTGGATTATATGAGTTTGTGCTGCCAGTTCAATGGCAGTGTAGATGGGAGTCTAAGGAAGTGACATAGATTTGCTTGGGAAAAAGAAGACCAAGGCCCCCTCTATACTGCCATATAATACAGTTTCTGAATGCATATTAACTGCATTGAACCATATTATGTGGCACTGTAAACTCATATAATACAGTTCAAAGCAGGTAACCTGCATTCAGAAACTGGCTTATATGGCAGTTTAGATCCAGGCTGAGTGGACATGACAGGCAATTTTTAACATCTGAAGGGACATAATGTAGAAGATGAGTTTGTTTTCCACTGCTCCAGATTCTAGAATGTGATTCAAATTCCAAGAAAAGGGAGTCTATCTAAACATTAGGAAGAAATGTTTGATAGTAAGAATGGTTACAGTATAATTGATCAAGCCAACAGAAAAAAGAAAGAAAAACAAGCACGTATGCCATAGATATTGGCATCACTATTTCTTTTACTCTTTTTCAACGATCAGGTGGCTATAACGTTTGTGGAGAAAGATATAATAATTGTGGCTCACATTAATGTTGCTGTTACAATCATGTAGCAGCTACGTACCATTCTCAACATTTGCCAAGCGATGCAGAAGTGGTAACCATACCAGACACTGAGGTGGAGGATCAGACATAAGAGTGTCCAAGAAAGAATTCAGAGTGACTTTTTTCTGTTTACATGAACAAAGAAGAAACAATTCAGCATTAATACAAGTCTAAAAGGGAACCCTATTCCTTGTAGCAAGAAAATATTTGTAGATGAAAACACAAAGCAGGAACATCATATTTTAAACCTTTTGTTTGGGAAAGGATTATACTTGTTGGGTCTTACAGGCAGAGAGACATCACTGTAGTTAACCATATCTAGCAGTTCTTATTTTTCAAATCAGTGCCATTAATCCAACTGTGCTGAAGATTCATAGCTCAGGGGTAAATCACATGATTTGCATTTACACTGCTCCAAGCTCAGGCCTGAGGATCTCTAATTAAGGGAGTTCTTGCAGCATAATTACAAAAAAGCTCTTTAGGAAAGGTACTGCCATCCAGATGGAGATCACTCTTGACTACATGAACAAATTGGCCTGATTTGATATAAAACAGCTTCAGTACTAATATAGAAATAAAAAAATTATCCTGGTTCATCAGAATAAAAACTGAGTAACTCAGCTTCTATTATGACATCATACAATAGGAACATTCTCTTTGTGTATCATAGTAACAGACACTCCCATCACTGGATTGAATTCCCCTTGGCAAAGCACCTCCATTCCTCTTCACAGCATTTATGGAATGAGTATCTCGCTCATTTCTCTATCCTAATTTGGGAAGAAGGATCTCAAGAGGAAATGTTTCCTTGGATTTTTGCTTCTGTTTCCTTTGTCTTAGGAGGTGATTGGAAATATCCCATTTTCTCGGTGTAAGGAGGTTCTTTGCATGGGTGTGACTTAAATGGTAGGTGATAAGATAGTGTGTGTATATAGGTAGGGGAAAAGACTGCAAAGGGAATTTAAGGCAGAGATTTGGGCTTCTAAAAGTCTCAGTCACAAACTATACCACATGTTTCATCTGTTTTCACAAGTGAAGACATTTCAATTTGTCCCTTCAAAGACATCTGATATGAAAAATAACAGATTATTTCACCCTGTAGTTGAAAAGTATACTCCTGCCCCAAATTAAAAACAAACTGTCATCATGTTGTTGGTGAATGTCATTATGGGAAGAATGGAAAAGGAGGTATGGAATGATGTCATTTTATTTACCTGTTGGGAGAAACAAGATTTTGCTGATTGCTCTGTGTAACCAAAAGAGGGACCTTCAAAGACAGCAGTGGGCAGCTTCAGAACTTCTCGTAGAAACATGTCATATCTTCCATAAACCATTACACCACTTGTGTCTGATATCATTGAGAAAATATCTAATGGAAAAAAGAGGGGAAGGGAACAGAACTTATGTATTTAGTTTTTAGACATTTGTCATAGACAACAAACTGAATGGAAAATAAGGATTACTGATATTTCATTTCAATATAGTAGCAGAGCCAGCATTGTGTAGTGAGTTGAGTGCTGGACTTTGACTGGACACCAGAGTTTCAATCCCTATTTGGCCATGGAAACCCAGGGGTGACCTTGGGCAACTTATATTCTCTCAGCCTCAGGGGAAGGTAATGGCAAAATGATAAAGCTTGCCTGTGATAGGGCCATGTTAGTGTCACCCTATGTTGGAAACAGTTTTGAGGCACACAACCAGAGAAAGTAGAATGTTCAAAACTTTGTGAGGGAAGCATTGGGGATAATAAGGGCCCTTGGGTGGCCCCTGCTTTATTCTACCCTAATTCTGAAATCCTTATGTTGAAATAAGCACCACTGAAAACAATCAGACCCAACTAAGTAGAAATGTATAGGGTTTTACTGTGAATACATTTTGTACTTAGCAATGTTTATTCTAATTATGAATTTTATATTCACAAATGTATGTGTATGTGCCTTCAAGCTGCCTGCCCACTTATGGTGATCCCATGGATTTCATAGTGCTTTATTAGGCAAAGAGCACTGAGAGATGGGTTGGCCCATTCATTCCTTTGAAATATAGCCTATAGCATTAATCTTTGTTGGCAGCAGTATCCCATCAAAATACTCATTAGGAATTGCTTTGTTTAGTTTCCAAGATTACACAGGATCTGATTCTAGGTATTTAGACACTACTTACATACCTGGGATCTAATACTAAGAAGATATGCAGTATGAAGAATTGTATTGACAATCTGGATAGCACATTTACTCTTGGGCACTCTTATTCCCTTCCCTTGGATAATTTTGGAAAAGTAAAAAAATATGATTGCTAGTTTGGGCCATTTTGTATGTTCTAATAAAGATATTATGTGTCATTACTGTATCTATCTATATAAAAGCCAAAGTATGCATGTATGTTTGTCTGTTTGTTTTACTATGAAGTGGCCCTCTGTAGTGTAACTGGGACAAAAAGGTTGCATGTGTGCGAGACGGAGAGAAGGAGGGAGAGAAGGAGGAAAGAGCCACAAAGAGAATCCACCCACTGTTGCCAGAGTTTTGCAATGGAGACACGGTGAGGTAGGTCTTCTCAGTATTGGAAAAGGGAGAAAGTAGGTGGGGAGTGGTCCCAACAACACCCAGACAATGTCAGGTAAATATGCTAGTAATTCTATTACGGCAAGCTCTGACTATCTATATTTGGAGCCTATTCCAATATTTAATATTGAACATGTCTTTCATTTCAGTCCAACTCATCACAAAAAAATAAAAATTCAAATAAAAGAAAACAGAAACATTCTATATTAAAATACTATTATTTCTAGTTTTCTGATTTATTTATTTAGAGAAAGATAGATGCAAATCAGTGGATGTAAATTTCACCCAATAAAATAGACCCAAGTTTCAAAATGTGACTTCCTTGATCTGGATTAATTTCTTACCCCAACTATAGATCTGGGAATTAAGTATAATATGACTGTTACAAGAGGACTGTGGTATGTATGTTAATGCATTATAGAGGATAACTTCATAGCTTATAGTAAAGTAGTGCTTGACTGCCTTTTGTGCTATTTGATTGTGCCTGTGGATATATTTATACAAGCCAATATTGATTTTAACTAGGCCATCACCCCAATGAAAGAAGTGGTAATTGACTAAGCTATTGAAAAAAACCTGCATGCTTCCCAAATGTTTTGTAATTGCTTCGGAATTGAGAGAACAAATCTGTTAAAAAATTAAATAATACTTTGCCCATGCAATGGAAAACAAATGAATTTTTAAAAAATAGATTTTAGTAACATTTTTGAAAATGGCCATAGCTTTATTTTTTTAAAAAAAATAAACTTGGCTCTTCTTACTTATGCAGGGGCATGAAACAATATGAGTAAAGGGATATGTGTGTTTTATCTCTTTTATGCTGCCAATGCAGCATCTCTCTGGATGTGTAATCCTACAGAATAAGAAGCAGATTTTGGGAGACACCCCATGAATCAAGGTTTATTACATTTTCATATCATGAAAATCAAAAGAGAGAGAAAAAGAATGAAACGATCCTTTATGCATAGTACCCAGTGCATTTGACAGTCTATAAGAGCATCTCCGCCCCTCATAACAGAACTTGAGTTTTTTTAAAAAGACATATACTTTTGCCTCTCCTTTCAAGAGTGTGCCTGCTGATTTTGATTCATAAGCCTATTATCAAAATCAAAAGCAGGTTTTCTACCTAAGTGAAAGAAACCATTAATAAAACACAGGTTTGAAAAAGCACTTACATCTTAATTTATCCATGATCTTTCCCCCGCAAAGTGTTGCCAAGGCCATTTTGACAGCAAACACAGAAATTTTTCCATGTCCTTCTCTACAGAATAAGAAAAAAATAAATCATTAGTAAGAGATGACTTTTCTGCTCTCTTGTTGAATTATATATTGTAAACATTCTTTTGTTTAGAAATGAATGCTTTGCAGCTGTGAAACACAGACACATATATAAACCTAGTTACTGAAGCCAAACCAGATACCCTAAAACATCCACAGTAGTCATTCCATGGAACCCATAATCTCAATCCATGGCTGATACCGAATGAGAGACTGCCTCCTGGGCAGGGCCGTAGCCAGAAAAAAATTTCGGGGAGGGTTGACAATTTTGGCGGGGGGGGGTTGAAAATTTCGGGGGGGGTGAAAATTTCGGGGGGGGGGGTTGAAACCTGCCTCCTAGCTCCCGCTGAAGCAAAGAGCACAGCAGGGGGCAGAGCAACCTTCAATAGCCTGCAGCTCCACCCCTGTCAACCAAGTCTGGCCTCCTTAATGAGAGCATTCAACACACACACACCCAACTTGGTTGCTTCACTACATCGGCTATTGCTGCAAGTAATGACAGTGTGAATAAATTGTCAATATTTGCTTGAGATAGTGCTTACAGTTCTGGAGGGACTCTTAATTTTTTGCATCTCATAGACTTAGCATGGGGATTTGGTTAACCAGTTAAAATTCATGAGTAAACCAGGTTTTTTAAAAAAATCTGAAACATTTCGGGGGGGGGGGGGGTTGAACCCCTAAAACCACCCCCTCACTACAGGCCTGCTCCTGGGCACACAGAAGGCCGGGCGACCTGGAGGGCACTGAACAGACTGTGCTCTGGCACCACGAGATGCAGAGCCAACCTTAAGAAATAGGGCTACAAAATGGAGTCCACGATATGCAAGTGTGGAGATGAGCAAACCACAGACCACCAATTACAATGCAGTCTGAGCTCTGCCACACGCACAATGGAGGACCATTTTATAGCAATACCAGAGGTACTCCAAATGGCCAGCTACTGGTCAAAGGACATTTAATATAATGCCAAGTTTTTAATTTTGTTTGTGTTTTTAAATACATTACAATTGTACCCTCAATTCACTTCTGACACGATAAATAAAAAAGTGTCTAATGAATTAGTTGAATTTTCTTTCAAGAACCAAATTCTGAAAATTTACAACCTGGTGGAAGAAACTCTCTGGTGGAATGAAAAAAAAAAGAGGATTTTGTAAAAAAAAAAAATACTCCTTCCTGTTCCTTGTGTCACCTGGAAAGATGTTCCCAATTATTTTGAGACCATCTGGAATAATATGGGAGGTGGAAAAGAGGACTGTAGCAAAAAGGTGAAATAATAAAAAATTGCTTTCCTTTCTTTCTGAGAAAAGTTTCATTCAGGCGATACTAAGGCTGAAAGAAGTCTGTGACCAACAGATTACAGAGGTAATAGTAGAACAGCCTGTGTAAACTAGACAAAATGAATTGTGGCCGAATCATGCCACAGACAACATGTCACACATCAGTCCTTTTGATAAATCAGTAAGAACTATTCTCAAAGAGAAAAATGCGGAAACTCTAGAGCTCAAGGGAAATGACTAATTATATGGCTTTACAAAAAGTTGACAATTGTCTTATAAAGTACATGTCAGATATTTTATATTTTATAAATTAGTGAAAGTAAAGTTTTCCCCTTGATGTCAAGTGTAGTCAAGTCCAACTCTGGGGGGTGGCGCTTATCTCCATGTCTAAGCCAAAGAGCCGGTGTTGTCAATAGATGTCTCCTAGATGATGTAGCCGGAGACCCGTTTCCTTCCTATCAAAGCAGTATCTATTGATCTACTCATATTTGTATGTTTTCAAACTGCTAGCTTGGCAGAAGCTGGGCTGACAGTCAGGAGCTCACCCCGCTCCCTTGATTTGAACCACCAACCTTCCAGTCAGCAAGTTCTGCAGCTTAGTGGTTTATCCCGCTGCACCACCGCAGCCCCAGTATTTTATAAATTAAATTATATATTTTAATATAACAGTCAAAGGTGAAATTACTGAGCACAATTTCAAATTACAGTACTTATCTAACAAAAATAAGTGTAAGCATTTTCTGAATGTAAATATATAAATATCTCATCTCACATGTAATAATACATTTTAAACAGCTTGATCGAAATTCAATATGATGCCAGTGTAACAGAACTAGCTTCCCTGTTGCTCTCTCCTGCTTACCTCTAAATCAGTTTTAGTACATTTTCTAGATTTCCAGAAGTCTTGGGGTTGCACGGGAGGCCACAAAGGAAAGGGGAAATTCAGCCAGGTTATGCTACCCTCAAATAGATATTGGCTCCTTTGGGACACCAGATCATTTTGATAGATAGATAGATAAGAACTATTCTCAAAGGAGAAATATGCAGAAACTTGAGAGCTTAGACAAAATGACTAATTATAGTACTTTTAAAAAGTTTACCTAAGGAACAGGAAATAATATGGGATCTATAGGATGTTTTAAAGCCTTTAATAGCTGCAATGCTTTATCAGCAGCCTCACATAAAAAGAACAGCAACAACAAAAAAACCTAAGATTTATTGGAAATGTTTGCTAAATAAGGCGAAGGACCAAAATGAATTTAGTCAGATATCTGTGTAGCCTACTCGTGGCACTGAAGAAGGAATTGATATTTTAGAAGTCTATAAATTGTACTTCTAGGAATAATTAAAGAACACATTCCTTAAGGTCATATTCTGACATATTCTCCCCACTTCTTAATGGTATGACAACTGGTAACAGAGAAAGAGGTTTCTTGGTAGCAACCCCTGGTTTGTGCAATGTCATTCAAACTGAAATCTCACAGGAGTCTTCATGAGTAACATTTATAGGCCAATTTAAGATCTTCTCCTTTAAAGAGATATTCATTCCTTTATTTTAATCTTTTGTTTTACAGATTAAATCTTACTGCTGGTGTGTAACATTCTAACATATTAATGTTAGACACTACTTCAACTGCTGTATTTGCTCTGGTTTTAAAAACCATAATGTCATTGTTTTAAAGAAAATGGTATATATCCATTCAATTGGATACTGTATGACCAGGCCCGTAGCCAGGATTTCGTTTCGGGGGGGGGGGGGGGCTGAATTTTTTTCAGGGGTTTTTTGGGGGGGGCTGAGTTTCGGGGGGGGGCTGAGTCTGAGTGAAAGAGGGTCTAGCCTAGCAAACCTTTTGTATCATTACCCCAATACCCCCATGTATATGGGATATATTGAGTATGGTGATCAGATCATGATATGAATAAACATAACAGTTTAAATAATGCACCAATAAGGCCTTTTCGCGAACCACCATGAAAATTTCGGGGGGGGGGGGGCTGAAGCCCCCCGAGCCCCCCCCTGGCTACATGCCTGTGTATGACCATCATGTACAAAGTACCACTGTAACAATAATGTGCCTGTTGTGCTATGGCCAATCTCCCCACCACCATACTTACCAGTAAGTAGCCACTGAGACTGATGGGGATCCTTTCCCCTATCAGTCAGGAAGTGGTTACCTGATGTTCCCATCCCCTTTCATATATCAGCAGAAAAGTTCCATAATAACTTCCATAACCATGAAGCAAAAGACTTTTTGCTTTTATTTCCATGTGTTTTGTCTAATTATGTTGCTATCTCCAAGAGCTTTTTATATCTTAATTGCAAGATGCACATATATCCTAACTGGGTGGAGATTATACACTTTCATTCTACTAATACATTCTGTGAATTTAACTGGATCAATCTTGATTATTTAAATGAGTGTAGAGCATGTCTACAATAAATACAAGGATGCTGCAAGAGACTGAACTAGTGAAGCTAAATAATGGGCGGGAATTATGCTTTTGGGTGGCTTTAAGTTCCAACAGCCCTAGCCACCAGAGATAAAAGCGAGAAATGCTGAGTCTGGATCTACACTGCCATATAATCCAGATTATCAAAACAGATAATCCAGATTATCTGATTTGAATTGCCAAGACTGAACTTTTTTTTTGTCGTGTCAGGAGCATTCTGTTGTGAGAGAATTGGCCGTCTGCAAGGATGTTGCCCAGGGGACGCCCGAATGATTTTGATGTTTTATCATCCTTGTGGGAGGCTTCTCTCATGTCCCCGCATGAGTGAACTGAATATAAATCAATGGGGGAGGACTTACAATGTGAATTTCTAGAAGTTGATTGGACCAGGTTGAATCTAGATCAATCTGGACTAAATTGAACCCATATTCAAATAACTGGAATGGTCTCCAAATCAAATCAGGAGTGATAGAATGACATGAGCAGACTTAATCATAATGCCATGCATTCTTTCAAAGTTAACAACGAACACAATATCAATTTGGAATCTGAGCAAGGCTTTCTCCTCTTGCTATGAATTGGTTTTAAGGTAACATGACAGTGCAGGTCACATTTACGTATATGGTAGAGCCACAAAGTTAATTTAGGAAGAATCACACACATGATCATGAATTCACAAATGGTGAGAAAAAAAACATCAAAAAGCTTCATATTTGTCCATCAAGGGAAAAAAATATTTTGAATGTTTTCATTCTTGGTTTGAGAATAAAATCAATGAAGATTTACATTCCACCTCTGAATAGGTAATTTTTTCACAAACACCTATTTGCCAAAACTGATAAAACTGACTGTTTTATGAAACGGCTGTGGTAGCACAGTGAGTTAAACCACTAGCTGCAGAAAATCTGCTCACTGGAAGGTCGGCAGTTTGAAGCTGCGAGTCAGGGTGAGCTCCCGACTATCAGCCCAGGTTCTGCCAACTTAGCAGTTTGAAAGCATGCAATACGAGTAGATTAATAGGTACCGCCTCGGTGGGAAGGTAAAAGGGCACCCCGTGCAGATAAGCAAACATGCTGGCAACACATGTTAAGTTGCTCCTAGGCATTGAAAAATGGAACAAGAGCAACTCCCCATGGCCGGAGTTTAGCATCGCTTCCAGATGCCAGATGGAAAAAGGGAAAGGCCTTTAACTTTGTCTGTGTTGTATGTCGTTGTTCACTTGTTTTGTGTAAAAGGCATTGAATGTTTGCCTCAAATATGTATATTGTTGTCCCTCCAGGGAGATAAAGCAGAATATAAATAAAGTGTAGTAGTAGTAGTAATAATAATAATAATAATAATAATAATAATAATAATAATAATAACCTGGTCCTGTTATTCTCTGCAACTACATCAACTGCAGCACAGGCAGTCCCCAAGTTACAAACAAAGATAGGTTCTGTAGGTTTGTTCTTAAGTTGGATTTTTTATGTAAGTCAGAAGAGGTACATTTTTAAAGTGTAACTCCAGCAAAAAATAATAATTAAGCTTTGGATAGCAAAAGGGTTAACACCCCTGTGGTGTTTGATTTGCTGTCTGTGACCATGTTCAGAAGATTTAACCCCACTTCTGCCTTTATGATTTTGATTTTGAAAAAGTTGGCTTGTTGTGGAAACAAGGGTTGGTGATAAAGCTGCAGGGGAGATATCTTTTCCCCATGATATCTCTTTCAGGAGTGAATTACTTTTCTTAGAGGCAGATTTCTCTCACTTCCTGTTGTCTCACTCCCGTTATTAACTATGAGTCATTTGTAAGTCAGATGTTTGTAACTTTGGGACTGCCTGCATAATTATTACTGGAACAAAAAGTTATCTAAACTTCAGTCCTATACTTACTTTCATTGAAAAATAAGCTGTGAAAGTGATAAGGTGTACTCCACGGAACAGTGCATAGCAGGGTACTGTTCATGTGATTTTTAAAGACTCAAAACTGTAACTGTACATTTTAAGTAGTAAAATAACAGAAATTCTAACAGAATTTCTATAGCCATCCAAATAATTTGGTCAGGACTCAGCAGTTGTTTTGGTAAATATTTTGCTTCTTCAGATGAATATATTAAAGGGCACCCAGGACATTCAACAGATATATAAACCCCACTTGACTAGTTTCCAGCAGACCTCATAACCTCTGAGGATGCCTGCCATAGATGTGGGCAAAACATCAGGAGAGAATGCTTCTGGAACATGGCCATACAGCTCGGAAAACTCACACCATCCCAGTAATTCTGGCCAGGAAAGCTTCCGACAACACTTCTTATCAATTTTTTAAACCTCATATTTAGGATTTCTGTTTATACCTTTCAGACTCCAGCCACATATTCTAAGCTGTGACAAAAATAGATGGATTTAACCTGGGATTTATAACATGAACAAGTTGCTAGCCTTGAACAATCTTAAGACTTTGGAAATATGTTTTCAGTCTCATAATTTTGTCCAGTTACCTAGCTAGCAATAATAGCTGAACACTTTTAACAAAAGATCTGTGTTGTGTCCAGATATTTATCTTTGCCATTTAAAAATACAAGACTTCGTCCTTTCTTTTTCAGGGACACACGCTCCATGTTCATCTTTAAATTTTGGTACTCTAAAGGCTGGAAACAAAATAAATGTGCAAATGCTGTCATTTTTACAGCAGTGGTTTTCGTTGGAGGCTGAATGACTTATTTGCAGTGGGATGTGTCAGGCATTCACAACAAGGTTCCTCCCTACTTATGATAAGGAAATACACACACACACATACACACACATCTCCTTGTTGTGCAGCCTTTTCAAAAATCCTGAAGGCCACAGTCTCACAGCCTACTGACAATTTCTCCTTGGAGAGGGCAACGCTTGAATGCAGGCACATTGTGCCTTGGCTGCTTTGTCATGTGGAACAGTTCCCTTTCCTCCCACCCCAGTAGTTACCATGGTGACCAAGCCGTACTAGTTGATCGGGCGCCGAAAGGTACACAGCACCAACAAAGAAGTCCATCAAGTGTGTACAGAGGGCAACCAGGAGAGGTGGGCAAGAAGAAGGAGAAGGAAGCTTATTTAAATGGTCTTTTAAATCGCGTGGCTTTCTAACCAGGGCTCTTCTCAAACATGAAAAAAATGGCAACGCGGTAATAGGTAATTTGCACCTGTCAAAGCACAAAGCTGATCCCAGTCAATCCAGTTTGTAATTTTAGGCTACTTAGATGCTTTTGAGAGTGGCAATAACGAGCTGCTAGATCCTGTGTTCAATCACCATAATTTGCATAAATACACAGGCTGCTCATCTATAACGTGACATTAGCGATGTCTGGTTCAAATAAATCTACACTGTACTTCATTTTGTACTCAGACATTGAAATGGAAAGTTTCAGGGAGCACTAAAAGCATAAATTCAGTTGTCATTTCCCTTGTGGAATCCATTTGCAGTATTAACTGCTTGCAGCTGCAGACGGATCCAGAAGGAAAGAGTTCCCTTCAAACAGTAAGCCACTAACCCTATGCTACTACTGCAGAATAAACACTACTATAGGTGCTTTCACTAGCAATAACATCCAAAGAATAGAACAGTTTTGATTTTGAAGGTTTCTATTGGTCCAAATATGATATTGTACCCTTACATCTCTAATATTGGCCCTGTTATCCTTTTGATAAAACTTGTATGTGTGTATTCCAGTAGAGAGTAAAGATGGGATGAAATGAAATGATCAGGATTGGAGAACATGGAGGGTAACGGTTCCTACACTCTCTGCTTGTCCTGATCCAAATCACCTCTAAACAGAAATCCCAAATTTGATTTTTATGTGTGAAATAAAAGCCATTTGAAGAGGGAATCTAGTGTGGGAAATCAGTAGTGAGAGGAATGGTTCAGCCTCTTGAATGATATCAACTTCTTCCATCCACTAATTTACCTGTATCAGTAATGTTTTTCCATGGAACAGTAAGAACAACAACAATAGTGTTAGTTAAAGGTGAACTTACGGATCGAAAGCTGCCAGCAAGAAGTTGAGAAGTAAACTGATGGATTGTTCTACATTGATCTGGTGGGTTGTTGGCATGCGTTTGTTAAGTTGATAGAAAACTGTTGACAATACTGCTTCAAGCCGGGCCACATTCAGCTCTATGTTTGGGTCCAGGTTGTTCAATGAATTTTCCCGCAATGCTTCAATCACATTCCAAATATCCACAAGGTGTACTAGGAATAAAAACAATAATAAAAAAACATCAGAAATAGTAATGGTTATAAAATGATCCCAGTTTTATCTAGTCTATAGATAGAAGGATAGATAGATAATTGGAAAATGTTATAAAATATTGTGCTTGTCAAAACATTATTGGAATGATAAACAAAGGATAGTGACAAACTACTCTACTACAGATTGGCCCAGCCCAGCCCCACTTAAAGAGCAATGGTTTCATTTCCTGGACCTTGTAGGAAATTACATGAAAAAAACACTTCACCAAGCTTTATTCTTTTCCCATTTAAAGCCCCATGGACATATCAGTTAAATGGTTCTGACATCTGGCTAACTTTTTGAGAGGACCCAAATTATTCAGGACTGCATTGGTACAGAAGTCCTCTGGATATTGTACATAAAAAGCTGCCCCCCTCTCTCTGTATATAGGCTGACTCTTAGGACTTCCCTATACTATGCTGAACCCGGCAGCTGCAGCTATGTGGGGGATATACATAGTTTGGTAATTTTGTGGTGTGGTGGTGAGAAATGTTTTAAGATGGGGAGTGACTGCGGAAGTATTGTGTGCAGAGAAGAAATTAAGCACTCCTTTTCTGCTTCTCTATTTCAAGATGTTCCTTTCCATTTAGAAAAAGTAGTTGTTGGGGATTTTCTTAGATTCTTTTGTCATGTAAACATAATTGTTGTTTTAGTTCTCAGATTGGGTAGGCGGGGTATCCTTATTAGTACTGATATTAGTAAGATTTGTAACATGCCTCTCCCTTTGTCTCCCACACCAATTCAAATCGCCACTCCATGTTTTTCCTCTTTCTTGTGTTATTCTAAAAACAACATAGTGAGAAAGGTCAGGTGAAAATAAGTGATGGACCACGGCTGTCCAGTTGTTTTCCTCATGTCTCAGAGGGGATTTGAACATGAATGTCCCAAGTACAAGTCCACTGTTGTTTATAGGGCAGATATTTTCAAATTATGACAGTACAGCAAATAATAATTTTGTTAATATTTTTAATAGTCATAAGCAATCTTAAACATCATTTATCCTAAATCAGCTGTCTTCAGGATGCAACTACAATGCTCAGGAAGTCACATCTAAAAAGCAATTTCTTGCATTTAATGTCTAGAGATGTAGCAAGTTACCATTATATTAAATTTTTTAAAAATGAAAATATAATGTGCTCTCTCTGTTCTCATTTTTCAAAATAAATGTACTGTATACCTTTTTCCTTTTTCTTGTTCCTTCCTCCCAGCACCCCAATCGAAATGGTCTGACCCAAGTAAAATAACACACCTAGACATTGGCTACACATTGCCAACGACTAGAAAATTAGTAAATTCAGTTACTGCAAAAGAAGTGACATTATTTAAGTGACAGCTGCAAAATAATATAGTTATTATTTTGTGTCAAAAGCACTGCATAAATAAGTATAAAACTGATAAATAGAGGGAGAAAAAAATGACGAAATAGTTTAAAACCAAAAACAGGCAACAGCAACTGCCCTAAACAATTCTTCCTCTGTGCATGAGGCAGGGCACTGTGGATAAGCATACAGATGCAGAGTTGTTTGTTCTGCTCCACAGTTGCACAAGGTGGAGGATTCTTCTAGGTAGTGCCTTTTTTGCCAGGTTGTCTTTTGATTGTCTACTCCACTTAGTTATGATGTAAACATTATAAAGGAAATTACATACAAGCAATGTATTTATTTATTTATTTATTTATTTATTTATTTACTTCGCTTGTATACTGCTCTTCTTTGCCCTTAGGCAACTCAGAGCGGTTAACAACAATTCCAATATACACAGTACAAAATCATTGGACATTTAAACGCAAAGTGATTAAACATCAAACATCAATACATCAATTTAGCAAATCCATCACTCTCATCAATAAAATCAGAATCCAGCCTCCATATCCATTTTCCGTGTTCCAATAATCAATTGCACTGCCTAGTTGAATGCCTGTTCGAACAGCCAGGTCTTCACTCTCCTCCGGAATGCCAGTAGGGAGGGGGCCGATCTAATGTCCATAGGAAGGGCGTTCCACAGCCGAGGGGCCACCACTGAGAAGGCCCTGTCTCTTGTCCCCGCCAGGCGTGCTTGTGAAAATGGCGGGACCGAGAGCAGGGCCTCCCCAGACGATCTTAATGTCCTAACTGGTTCATAGGAGGAGCTTGGAAATAACTACTCTTAGCTAGTTATTTCCAAGCTGATTGCATTCTTTTGAGAAATTTTGCTCCTGTTTTGGTAAAGTTGTTGGGGCTCTTTTTCTTCCAGATTCTCAAAATCTATTAAGATTACAAGAGACTTGGTGATGGAAAATCTATGCTGGTCTCAGATAAACCCCATTATGCCCTTTTATTGAGATTATCAAAGCCCCTTTGATTTCTGTTTCTGTCTACTCTTCTCAGTTTTGTACCACCTGCAAACTTGATAAAGATTTACTTTACCCCATCATTGAAGTCATTAATAAAAAATTGAAGACTGGCGGCCCTAGGACAATATCCAGTGGCCCTCCAATTGATACCTCCTTTTATTTGGCTAGAAAGGAACAGATGTGTATAGAAAAATAAACAAATTTACATTCTAGTACAGTCTCCTTTTGCTGATGTTGTTATGTGCCTTCAACAATTCCTAACTTATAACAACCCTAAGTCTAACCTGTCACAGGGTTTTGTTGACAAGGTATCTTCAGAGGGAAGTTGCCCTCGTCTTCCTTGCCCAAGGCATTGCCACGCAGAGATTTGAACAGTGGCCTTCCAAGGTCATAGTCCAACTGTCAAACTACTACACCACACTGGTGTTCCTTTTACTTTTTTACAAATTTATTTGTTGTGTCAGAGCAACCAGTCCATTATATATTACATTTCTAACAGAACAAAGCAAACAGACAGAAAAATACACATCTTGTGAGTTTGGTAGTTGGTTAAATGTCCTTTGACCAGTATCTGGCCACTTGGAGTGCTTCCGGTGTTGCTGCAAGAAGGTCCTCCATGGTGCATGTGGCAGGGCTCAGGTTGCATTGCAGCAGGTGGTCAGTGGTTTGCTTTTCTCCACACTCGCATGCCGAGGATTCCACTTTGTAGCCCCATTTCTGAAGGTTGGCTCTGCATCTCGTGGTGCCAGAGCGCAGTCTGTTCAGTGCCTTCCAAGTCACCCAGTCTTCTGTGTGCCCAGGAGGGAGTCTCTCATTTGGTATCAGCCATTGGTTGAGGTGCTGGGTTTGGGCCTGCCACTTTTGGACTCTCGCTTGCTGAGGTGTTCCAGCAAGTGTCTCTGTAGATCTTAGAAAACTATGTCTAGATTTAAGTCGTTGGCGTGCTGGCTGATACCCAAACAAGGGATGAGCTGGAGATGTCTCTGCCTTGGTCCTTTCACTATTGGCTGCTACTTCCCGGCGGATGTCAGGTGGTGCAATACTGGCTAAGCAGTGTAATTTCTCCAGTGGTGTAGGGCGCAGACACCCCGTGATAATGCGGCATGTCTCATTAAGAGCCACATCCACTGTTTTAGTGTGGTGAGATGTGTTCCACACTGGGCATGCATACTCAGCAGCAGAGTAGCACAGCGCAAGGGCAGATGTCTTCACTGTATCTGGTTGTGATCCCCAGGTTGTGCCAGTCAGCTTTCGTATGATATTACAAATAACTCCTGACCATTCATTATGATTTGAAAAGGGTGTATACTGCAGGAGCAAAAGCAAAACTAAAGAAGACTTGTTTACATGCACTGTAGTCTCATCCTTTCCACAGAAGAAATACGAGATTGCACAGTTCTTTCAAGCTGGTCTGACAACTGATATGGTGTGAGATGTGTGAATTGCCCTGTCAAGGAAACTTCCATCTTGAGAGCGTACTACTAGGAAAAATCACCACGAAGGCACATGAGTTTTCTTTTCACTGTGAGGAATTCTGTACTTATGATGTCATTTGCAGCCTTACTCTTTTCCAGTCTCACTACTATGTCACAATTGGGTTTAAAGTGTCAATGACAGTGTGTAAAGCCATACTTATAACATTCACATTTGGAGACCAAACATCAAAGTAAGTAACAAGTTGAGATACTGCACCATCCTTAATATTGCTAGGCATAAAACTGCATTGCAGTTTTATTTGATTGCGATTAGAATTTTTTTCAAATGTTAAAAAGTTATTTCTGATATGACTTCATAGCATGAAGTGCAAGTGAAGTCATGAAGATAAAGCAGAGTGTAAATCAGCAAGAAGGGAACCAGTTGAAATTTGCACTGTGAAGCTGGGGCTGATTTTTTTTTGGTGTGTATTTATGTAGCTTTAAACATCCTTCAACTATGTGTTCTAGTATTGGTCTAAATTGTATCTGTGTCTGCTTGCTTGAAAATGGAACAAAGAAGTGACGTTTGGTGCTGCAGTACATTTTAATTTGAGCATGTGATCTGACTCTCAGGCCCCTTCCACACAGCTGAATAAAATCCCACATCTGCATTGAACTGGAATGAACCCAGTTCAAAGCAGATATTGTGGGATTTTCTGCCTTGATATTCTGGGATATATGGCTGTGTGGAAGGACCCTCAGGGGTCTTCTACACTCACACTATAATCTATTTTGCAATTGGTTTGGGAGGAACCTGTTTTGCTGCATGGACAAGTAGACTGACAGGTCTGGAAGTGGTTTGAAGTCAGGTGGGTGATTACATTTAAAGTCGAACCTGGTCTCACACCACTTTGCAGGTCCTTTCCCCAATTTCTAGAAAACATGTGTACCAGTGCACCAGAGGCATATGGGATGGGGGAATAGGGAAAGTGATAGATAGGAGCAGAGATAATCCATTACACCTCCAGGGACCAATGTGAAATTTCAATAATGTTACAAAATGTAACTTTCTCAAGCTTTCAGTCAGAGATAAGTCAAAATGCCCTCTTCCCTAGTTTAAGCTTTGCCTGCTTAAACCCAATAAGTTTTTTTTAAAGGAGACCTTGTGAATAGTGGATATATTTTTTTCTACTTGCTGATTCTAGTCCCATGT